AGTGAATGAAAACTGTGTTAGAACCTACACCGAAACGTCGCTCTCACTGTAGTAAAGAAGATCATCCATGTGTTAAGACTTCCAAGTGTCAGAGAGTTTGTCCAAACATTTAGTGCCCTATATGTTAAATATTTATATGCCTGGTCACTTTTCCCAAACTGGCATAGAAATAATTGCTGGTGTACTTACTGCTTGAATAATAAATGTGTTTATCCCAGCGAGAAGTACAGACTGTGTTACTGGATCCGTACAGCCACAGAAGAGCACGTCATACGATACGACAACCAGTCTTAAAATCGGAGAAGTAACTGGAATAGCAGAGCCTGACGCAATTGCAGTCTTCGGCATTTGCTGAATAGCATTGAATGATACTTGTAACTTACACCGATGTATTCGTTAATCAATGAATAGATTGACTGAATGCTAAAATGAGTTTTTTATTCTTCTTTGTTAAAACAATGGCTTAAATATTTTATGTTGCAGGTGTTTCAAACCGACTCCCTTGACATCGATGGACAAAGGTGTTATTGGTAAACAACGACTGAGAACCTCATTCACCCCTCCAACCCTCTCCAATATCAAAGATCAAAGGAGCTTTCGGTATTTTATCAGGTAATACAGTACACTGTTTGCATGACGTCACACTTTATCTTACCTTCATGAAAAATCCCGCTGCCATGGTAACCGCTAAACACTCCGCGAGAAGCTGTATCGCTAACAATCGTATGAAGTCATAATATGGCATGCAGGGACCGGAGTTGGGAAACCGTTCGATTAGCTGTTTTTGAGTTCACATGTACACCTTTATTTTATCGACTTTCACTGCATTATTTAAACTATTGTATACATTGAATCGTTTGCACGCTCAACTTAAACATAATCAACCATTTTTATAGCAGTTTTAAACTTGTCAGAATATGTTTCAGTGATTTTAAAAATCCAGTCGAGAGACAGAGGCCATTTTGTTAACATGCCATATAGTCGGAAGCGATCTTCAAAATATAATCAAATTATATTTTGTACATTTAATATGGCGGTAAGGTCAATACGTTGTATGCTTCTCCCTCGGGTAATACGGTCTGACGTACGCCTTTTTGTAGCAGTGTCATCCCTCGCCTACCGGTTCGGGTGACACTGCTACATTAGATCGTACTAGCCTCGAGCGAAGCATACGAATATATACTGAAAGGCAAATATCGTAATATTGGAAATGACATTTAAGTATCAATGGACTATTTGAACCTATTTGTTTTAAATATACGCCGGAAGTCAAGTTTGAGGAAAACATGAATCATGGTCGTGTAGCCTGTATTGCCCAAATAAAGTATTGTTTGAGATTGAGGTTTGAAATGTTTTTGTTTGAGGAAAGGGAGGAGTTTGCACAGACACAACATTGAAATCGAGATGCACGTGCATCATGCATGCATGCATTCAGGCAAAACTTACCGGTTTGAATGGCAGTCGTCCACTTGTTTTTTTAACACAGCAGCTATGGCTAGGTCTTCCATGAGACCGTTCTGAAAGCAAGGTACTGATACCTTTATATTGTTAAGGGGGCACGAACTGGTTATAATGACGGTCGACACATGTCATCGTATCCAAATTGCGTAGGTTGATGCTCATGCTGTTGATCACTAGTTCTCTGATCCAGACTCGATTATTTACAGACTGCTGGTATATTGCTTGCTGAGTGCCACGTTGAACAGCAAACCAGCCAACAACAATGACAGCCTGGCTTCCGCGTCAGGACAGGGAACCTTCACTGAGATTGAGTGAGTTAAATTCCACAGTATGTCACATTGGCGGTTCCAGAAAGGGGTTGGGGGGATGTTCAGGGGGTTCTAACAACCCCACCCCTTTTGGAAAATCACTAAAGACCACATTGAAGTTAAGTTTCTGCTTTGGCGGGTTCAGGGGGTTCGAGGTTGTCGCTGGAGATTTTAATACCTCCATATTTGTTTTGTTTTACTTTTACAGAATGTATTCTATATTTGTGAGAAAAGCACTGAAAATGTAAAACCATCCATATTACAATGTCATTCGTCCGTTAGAGACAGTGCGCTGGTACCATGTGGGTTTTAGTAAATATGCGTAATATACTAAGCAGCAAAAGAAACCTCAGTTTGGAATTTTCCTTCGCAGAAACGGATTACTGTAAACGTTTTTCATGTTTTGATTGTATATTTTTGACAACATCTCCAACTTTACCTGAGCAAAGACATTCCTTCCCAAACTCAGAATGGAACCCAGGAAATGGTCTCAAAAACGCAACCTGATCTCTGGAGATGGTACGGTGTTCTCCATGTTTTTCATGCAACTCATGCTGCACGTGCTGTTCACAAGGACCAGCCCTATAAAATGCACCCCCAAACCTGGTTGAAACATTCACCGACATTACAACGTCAGCAGGATGCGACAACTGAGAGGAACCAGGCGCTAGGAAGACTCGAAGCTGGCCACACTGCACAAGCCTTTGCCAATCACTTCCAGGACAACGTTCGGACCATCTACAGGCTGCAGCAACGTTTCCGGGCCACCAACACCACAAATGATCGCCCCCGTACTGGCAGACCAAGGGTGACCACAAGACGAGACCGCCATGTTGTGCGACAGCATGTACAGAATCCCTTCATGCAGACATCCGAAACAGCACGCCAGACAGTGGGAACACACGGAAGACCAATCAGTACTGATACAGTACGCCGACGTCTTAACAGCAGGAACCTTCATTGCCGTACACCTTACCGTGGACCTATCCTCACCCCTCGTCATCGCCGTGAACGTCTACAGTTTGCCCTACAACACCAAAACTGGCGATACAGGCAATGGAGAACTGTTCTGTTTACAGATGAGAGTCGGTACTGCCTATCACCTGCAGATGGCAGAACAAGAATAAGGCGACGACGTGGCCAGCGTTACTCAGACCAATGTGTTATGGAAAGAGACTCATGGGGAGGTGCAAGAATCATGGTATGGGGTGGAATAGGCCTGAACCTGAGTGTGGGTCCTGTGGTGTTCCAGAACCTTGGTCCAGGGAGAGGAGGCGGCATCACAGCGGTGCGCTACATCGACCAAGCTCTCAGACCCCACGTCATACCACATTTCACACATCACCGGAACAACATTTTCCAGCATGATAACGCCCGGGCCCATACTGCCAGAGCTACACGGGACTTCCTACAGCAGAACGGTGTCAACATTATTCAGTCGCCAGCCCTGATTTAAACCCAATTGAACATCTTTGGGATGAAATTCAGAGGAGACTGAATAATGTCATACCAAGGCCGAACACAGCCGATTTACTGCGCCAGGATTTCTCAGAGTGTGGTTCCAGGTTCACGTAATGTTTTAAAATTGTGTTGAGTGTCAAGATATTGTACACAAAAAAATGTTTTTGATCCACTTATTATGTCCATATCTAATTTTGAATTCGTACTGACGTTTTTTTGCTGCTGAGTATATATCTTGGACAGACTCTCCTAACACTGCATTGAGTGGCTTATGTATGTGTTCTAGCTAGTATCTAACATGAAAACAACGAAAGTATCGCTGCATCTAACGATACTGTACATGCCATAAGTACTTTCATTTGGAAGAATAATTTCGTTTCCTAAATATACTATCCCCAAAAAGAAACGCAAGTGTGAGTGGATGTCTACATGCAGGAATCCAACGTCAAATTTCGTCCCAGAAGGTTCAATGGTAGACATATCCGGGGAACGAGACGGCAATGGAAGAACATTAACGTTGTTCTGAGCCAGATAATCCATCGACACCCTTGCTGTGTGAGGGCTGTAAACGTTGCTGGCCTTGTTGACCTGTCAAACTTGGCTGCACATATGGCCGTTGGCAGTGGATTCCAGCAGCCGAAGACGGCACCTAATCCTATCGCTGGACACTCACTGTCTGCTCCCCTTGACCCATGAACTAAGGCTGCTGTTACTGTTGCTGCTTGAGTTCGGTTCCTTAGATGAGTGGCCGTGATGTTGCTGGAATATTGCTGAAAGCGGCGTAAAACCAAACTCAGTCAGTCAGCCTTAGATGAGTGACCTGGATGAACGGATCTTGCGCATGAGTTGTCACCCGTGCCCGTCTGGTACGGGACGTTCAGCAGCAACCCCGGTTTGCTGATGATGTTGAGCAAGTTGTGTAATGGTGGAAAGATTGTCTAGCTACAGCGGTTGCAGAGCTACCTCCGTGCAACTTTCCAATGGTCATTCCCCTCCGCTCAGTTGTTAGTCCAGGCATCGTTTGTTTGTCGTGTACACCTCCTAGCGTCAATACAGAACTGTTTTTTGACACAAACCTTTATAAAGGATACCTCAGAGTGAAATGCATGCTTTCCATCCAGAAACGTCGATGCACGTGCTAAAATTATGGTTTTGCTGCACTATGGGTGTGTTTGTCTGACCGTTTCGTATGGACGTCAAATTGCCTCGCATCATCTCATATGAGATCATTACGTCACTTTACCATGAACGTTCCATAAACATGAACGCTTACTTTCATGAGATTTCATTTTTTTTAAACTTGCGTTTCTTTTGCTATTCAGTATATATAAACGAAAACTGTCTTTTTTCAAACTGACATGAACGGATGATCCATCAAAATAATGACCAAACAGAAATCAGGTCGGAATATATCCTGACTGAAAGGAAATCACATGCTGCCTTGTGTTTTAATCTCTTGCTGCAAGAAGATTGCAACTGTAATTTCTTATTTGATGATACCGTGCTTGGGTCATGCGATCGTTGGTAAAATATCCTATCAGCCTTGGTAATGGATCCAGGTTTGTCAGCTCAATCTCCATATCCCTGTGTTCCAAAAATGGATTTCCCCAGCTGATGTGAATAAGCTGTGTTTGTCAAGTCATCAGTTTCTATTCCGAACTCAAGAGCTTAACAAACGCTATGTGACTGAGTAACTATTCAACCGCACAGTTCAATTCAGCTGCGATTGATTTTTCTGCCTGTAAACTTTTCCGTGTATCATTTGGAACAAACGATTACCGTGTATCAAACGGGAAGCAGTGGTTGCAGGCTTGTTTGCCTGGTACAATTAGCTCCGTTCAAACGGCGCTGCTCAAATGACAAGAAGGGAACGGTGACTGTATTGACGTTTGAACAATGAATCACACAGCTAACACTGTGTGATTTTGTCGACGTTCTTCTTCAACCAAATATTATTTATTTGCCTGTGACAATGAGATCTAAGACGCTCTACTGTGGACCAGTACATAATTTATTACAAATGTCAAGTCATACCGTTATGGGGGAATACACAATCCTTTTTAGCTAAAGACTGGTTTCATATGGCCATCAGGTGAAGAACGTACGTGGAGACAACAACTCACAAGAGGTGCATTTACTTGTTTCTTGCCTGAAGACATAAGGACGAATGGACATGTCCTGATTTGACTATATTTGTTTTCAGTGGCCATAGGCTTCAGCTTTTCGGATACAGTTTGTGGTTTGTTAAACGTTAATTAAGAATACATTTAACTTATCTTTATGATTTCTCAGAAATCAGGAAGATGCATTTTACACTTTTCACCGGAGTCCTTGTCCTATCTTGTATAGGATTGGGTTGTTGTGGCACTTGCTTCGACGCATCTTCTGTTCTGGAGACAGATGCACACATGGAACATTACGTATTTAGGAAAGTGAAGTCATCGTCCGTCTATTCCTGTGCCTCAGAATGTCTGATGTCATCAGTCTGCATGTCCTTCAACTTTGAGACCAGAACTCGCACCTGTGGACTCAACAGCAACAGCAGCAATCAGGTGGCCATCACAAGCCAACCAGGATTTCTCTACAGCGACATCAGCAACTGGCCAAAGGTACTGATACGTTATACTTTATCAGTTACTCCATATTGTCCTTGAGCATTAATTCTCGCTTATCTTGTGTGATGTGAAAACACAGAATAGGTCAATTGCATTACATTTAGCTGTCTACCTGGTTTGTATCTGCTTTACATTAACGACGCAAACCCGTTGTTATGTTTAGTAAATATAAGCTCTCGGCATATAACACCTCACCTGGAAACCTGAGTTATCTCAGGACATCTTTCTTGGCTACTAGAGTTTCCACGAGACAAACCAAGTTACAGATTCCGCTAACCAAAGTTGAGCATTTCAACTAACAACAAAACCTGTCCTAAGGTGTACTACCAAATGGATGCCAGGCAGAGACATGTTTTAAGTTGTACGATTGATATTCTGCGTTTCCACATCTCCCACCGCCCATCAAATGGAGAAGTTATTAGACAACCATATTATGACTTGATCAAATATACCGGCCCGAGCATCGCCTCTTAGGACAAGCCATGGTTGCTGAAGACCAATTTTTACCCGTTTCTTCTAGGGTTGTTAAAGTGACATTACACTATTGCCGTTGCTTTGGAAACATGCTCAGTAGTTTACATAGATCTTCTTACCCCTCCGATTCTCAAGTTTGTTGAGTTTGGCTATGAGGTTGGGTGAAATTGGGTTAACGTCGTGCTTGAGAATATTTCACTCATATGACGACGTGCATGCGTGTGTATGTGTATGTGCGGCTGCTTGTACTAGCCCAGACTTACGCTGGTTTTATAGTGCTAGCGCACTGAGATACAGTTTGGCTATGAAAGACACACAAGCTATAGATGGCATTAACTGGATGATCATTGATGGGTTCGTTGCTGAAGAATGTTTTCACTTTTTATTGTATAAATTGTTTTCGTCAATTGACTGAGATATTGCCGATGTGACGTTAAATATTAACTCACTCACTCACTCGTTGCTGAAAAGTGGTTGCGTCTGGGATCGTATCAAAGTTGATCCCCTGAATGTTCTTAAACTATTGTCTTCTGGATTAATAACATGTGTGAATGTATCTCTTCTCAAACCATAACCAATACCCAAATATGTTTAATATCCTCTGGATATATTTAACCAAGCTAAATGACATAGAAAACGTAAAACCTCATAGAACGAAAGTATGGTAATAAAGTCATGCGTCGATGCTGACATTGTTATTGATAGTTTTGGCCAGTGGTGGTATTCACATCCACATCAAGGATGCAGGTTCTGGTATTCCCCTCAACACTGAGCGTCACAATACTACCAACACACTTTTGTCTCGACAAGCGTTGAGTACATCATATCATCAAGAAAGTGTCTTTAGCAAACTGTTCTCTTTTATTGAAAGGAATTTCTTCAGTAATAAAACAAATAAATAAATTAATGTGTACTAACAATGGCCTCACATTTAAAGTTGTATCTCCACTATTTCTCCCAGAGGTCAATAGCGTATTGGCAGCTATAATCAGAACCTGAACCTTTTAAACAAATTGGGCTGTTATCAATTTATGGGAGCAGGTGTGTGACCATTCAGCTTCATTGATCCATTGGCTTTTCAAGATAGAAGGTGCATGCCGAACAACAAGACCATGACATTAGCTCAGGTCAGCTGTTTTATGCCAATGAATTTTCAAATTTTATTTTTCACCCGGGTGGGTCCGTTTGTTTTCAAGGATCCTGATGGCAGGATGAACAAAATTTCAAATGCGTGGTGTAACAGGAGGATCCTGCCCAGGTCCGCAGGATTCAGGGAGTTAAAGTCACAAAGACAACAAAACACAAAAGTTTGTAAACAAAATCAATCTATTTCAAACTGAACAAATATATATCATATAAACAACAATCAACAAATTTATATAAACAACAAAAACAGTAATGCCTCCAAAGATCCTAAGAAAAGTGAAACCCTATTAGAAATACCTATTCCATTGACCCTGATCTTAATCCAACTTAATTCCTCAAAATAATAATCCCTGCCCAAAAAAACAATAAACTACCAAACATTATCTAACCCAAAGTTTATTTCTTCTTTAAACTAAAACTGAAAGAAACTTAAAACTCTGTTTACCTAGTCTACAGATACAAAAACAAATTTAACTACCAAAAATTATCTAACCCAAACTTTATTTCTTCTTTAAACTAAAACTGAAAGAAACTCTGTTTGCCTAGTCTACAGATACGCTAGTGAATTTCACCTTTAAAGCCTCAGTAAGACCCCAGAGCCCAGACTAGAAAATAATCTGCCCTTTTATACCCAAACCTACAACTCTAACCCCATAAAATTAATGCTCTGAAAATTACCCAATAAATGCCTACAGAAGAACAGTTCAATGGACTGATCCATCTGCTCATGAGATGCTCCTGCACTGGTCCATCCCATTGCACATCAACGGGGAGAAGCATACAAGGCACATGCCTAGTGGGTCCTTACCCCTCAAGAGCTAAATGGACCAGCCCATAGAAGCCTAAGCCTGATGTATTTGTTTAGTCTTGCCTAGGCCTTGCCTAACCCTGTGCCAACCCTGAAAAACAAGCCTAATTTCTACAAAGAAAATAACCCTACCATCAAAGTGGTGTCGCACCCACTGAAACTGGATCAGTACAGGTACGTATTTTCTAAACAGTGGCCTATTCGAATATTCGCTTTAAATATGATGACAGAAATGGAAAGTTGTGTAGAGTGATGGTAATATGTGGAAACGAATGTGGAAGGACCAGGAGTAACTTGTGGAACACATCACGTTGTATGGTATAAACGCGATCAACACCGGGTCGTGCCCTCGTGTTCAGAGAACTTTGACCATTGCAGAATCTGGCCCAGACTGCCTGACGTAGTAGGTGGCTTTGATGTCTTCAAAACGTCTCAGGATTATATTCATGACGTGCTTCATGATGGGAAGATCAATAATAATAATAATAATAATAATAATACACAAGATTTGTATAGCGCCTTATTTGCTTTTTTAAAAAACACTCTAAGGCGCTTAACATATAAAATACTGTATATACAGGTGGTATACAAGTGATGCTAAAAGATGAAACATCTAACACATGGTAAAAACACATACAAGGAGTAACATTCTACACAGTGATAAAACCAGTGATACATTATATGGAATAAGCAGCTTTAAAAAGATGAGTTTTAAGAGCTTTCTTAAAAATGTCCAGTGAGGATGAATTTCTTAGGCTAATTGGTAAACTGTTCCAAAGATTTGCTGAAATGCTGTCAAAACATCTGTGGCCATACGTTACTGTACGTGTCTTTGGTTGACAGAGACGGGATTCAGATTCTGATCTGAGTGACCTGGTTGGATGATACCTGACATTACATTTCTCTTTTGATGGTTATCTCCCCTTGTTTCTGTCTTCATGAGTACTCATGTTTCATGGCTGCCTTTTCGTTACTCCCTATTATGATTCCTTGCTTATAACTAGATTGACGTCTAAAAGAACGGGCGTCACTGGATTAGTATGCAGACGATTTCCATTGCCATCTACCTTGGGGGCATATTTTCAAAAACATGAATGTTCGTTTGTTCTGGGGGCGGTGGGATAGCCTAGTGGTTAAGGCGTTGGCTCGTCACGCCGAAGACCCGGGTTCGAATCCCCACATGGGTACAATGTGTGAAGCCTATTTCTGGTGTCCCCCGCCGTGATGTTGCAGGAATATTGCTAAAAGCGGCGTAAAACTAAACTCAGTCAGTCAGTCAGTCTAAAAGAACGTTATCACAGTTTATTTGTGTGTTGTTCAACGCTGCACTCAGCAATGTTACATGTATATGGCTGCGGTCTGTAAATACTAGAGTCTGGAGGAGACAATCCACTGATCAACATCATGAGCATCGATCCGTAAACGCAACTGGTTGGTTTGTTTTGGTCTTTAAGGCCGCACTCGTCAATATTAGAGCTATGTGGCGGCGGTCTGGGGTACAATGACACGTGTCAACCGAGTTAGCAAATCTGACGACAAACATTGCTGAAGAACAATTTAATCCGGATCTTCGCAGGTTTTCTGCCAAAGTGACTGAAGAACATGTGCTCAACCGTAACACTAGTGAGCAGAACACGCTTCCCGTTTTTGCAACTTAAAGTCTCGTCACATTTTTTATACTCATTCTCTTAGTCTATTTAGCCTTTTAGGTCGAATAACATATGATGCAACAGGCGAATGACAGACTACTATCTAAGTATTGAACAGACATACACATAAGCTTGGTACCGTACATACATACATACATACATACATACATACATACATACATACATACATACATACATACATACATACATACATACATACATACATACATACATACATACATACATACATACATACATACATACATACATACATACATACATACATACATATATATTGAGGGAATCAAATAAGGGAACACCACTTCATGGCAGTGTTCCTGTATTTATTCTCAGATTTCCGCCCACAGCGCTATTCATTGCTGGTGATGAAAATTGCGTTCCTTTATTTTTTGTCTCAGTATATATGTGTACGTTCCCGAGCTCTTTTGTATGTCTGTTTCACGACCGGAAATACATTCTCGCGTCAGTTAAAACCCCTGACTGGCTCGTTTTCTTGGAACACCAGCTGCTCGAGATACTGGTTTTGAAACAATTGACTTGCTTATAATGGAAACACCCTAACCACATGAATGCATTGTTTTAAACAGTACATATTTGTCACACTATTCTAGTATAAAGTACTTATTCCAATGCGAAACATATATCCATAAACTTGAAAATAATACTTAGTTAGGTCGGTGTGTATTTCGTATATCTGTTCATGATTTCAGGGTTAATCAAAAATGTAAAAAGAAAGTCAATCATAATTCTGATATAGAATCTATTTGTTTGCACTGTGATATGAATGTTGTAGAAAACGAATGCCATGTTTTCTTTATCTGTAATAGATATTTTCTGCTCCGTAATAAATCCTTTTTGTCCATCCAAAAATATTGTAAAACTGGATTAACATTGCAACAAATATTAAACACACCTGATGTAAATATATTACGTTTATATATTTGCTAAATATTTGAGCTTAAGATCTTTTTAATATAATTTTGGTCATGTGACAACGACTGTATACCTTACAATACAATTGTACCATAGGCATTGTGGTCTAAAATACGGAATAAATTTGATTGTTTTAAATAGTCACTCGCTGGCGCCTGTTCGGAGACTCCTTGTACAGCGTCCAGATGTCACGTAGATCGGCTCAGCCGTGCATCATGTGAATCAGGTAGGCTATTGGGTGAGTGAGTGAGTGAGTGAGTTTAGTTTTACGCCACACTCAGCAATATTCCAGCTATATGGCGGCGGTCTGTAAATAATGGAGTCTGGACCAGACAATCCATTGATCCACAGCATGAGCATCGATCTGCGCAACTGGGAACCAATGACATATGTCAACCAAGTCAGCGAGCCTGGCCACCCGATCCCGTTAGTCGCCTCTTACGACAAGCATAGTCGCCTTTTACGACAAGCATGGGTTACTGAAGACCAATTCTAACCCGGGACCTTCACGGGTTGGCTACGGGGTGAAACAAAATGATCTTTCTCCTTTCTATGTTCATAAACTATTACTGATATCATACAGCTGGAACTGAAATCATGTTGCATGTTGAATAGATGTTTGTCGCGAATCAGTTTACATCAAATCGGAGTGTCTGCTCTGGGAATGGAAGGGCGATTGTAAGGTCATACCAAAGAACTTAAAGGGCGGCATATTTTGTTGAAATGTTACTGTTGAAGTTTCAACTAACCCACGTTCTCTTGACAGAGTTTCAAGGCTGTGGTGCCCCGCCTACTGTTGCCAATGCTGAGGTACATTATGATGGTGTGTACGAAGGAGCGGTTGCAGTATACACTTGCGGGGGCAACTTCATGTTGTGCACCACCCGAAGCAGCAGAATGTGTCAGTCAACAGGACATTGGAATGGTTCTGTCGGCCCGTGCGCTCGGTACATCTGGGACATCCCGGTAAGATGGTCACGTGGGACAGTGTGAAGTTTGAGTACATAGCTATTAAGGATTTAACGAATGGACAGGTGAGATGGGAAGGCCGAGTACATAGCTATAATGGATTTAACAAGATGGACAGGTGAGATGGGAAGGCCGAGTACATAGCTATAATGGATTTAACAAGATGGACAGGTGAGATGGGAAGGCCGAGTACATAGCTATAATGGATTTAACAAGATGGATGGGAAGGCCGAGTACATAGCTATTAAGGAATTAACAAGATGGACAGTTGAGATGGGAAGGCTGAATATATAACTGTCAAGGATCAATTTGAAGTGTCTCTATCATTTACATTTGACCATTTATATAAATGACATTGTGTATTCGTATACGTAACCACGACGATCGGAGCCTTGCCAATTTCACTTGCCAGGTGTACAAAGGGTACCTGATCCAGAGCTTCATTTGTCAGACTTAAAATATTGTAGCAGCCACAGTTGCGGAGTAAAGAAAACTCACGGAAATAGAAATAAAGCGTTTATTTGTATATTACTTCATTAAAATAGGTAGGTTCAACAAATATTGAAATAACTATTTTCTTTTTCCCAACTAGGCCTTTTAATTGGGTCCGCTAATCATCCAAAATACCATTCTACAAGTAAAAATAACAAAACTTTGCACATTATCAACAAATCTAGAAACATGTTATAACTTACGTCACAATCAACAATGGGTGGTAGCAACTACCTGAGGCACTGTTTAGATGAGAAGATGCATTTCCACGTGCGTTGCCATAGCGATTGTGCAATTGACAATCAAAGATATTAATGAACTCGTAAAAATAGTAAACTTTCAACAAGAGTACAGACATGAAAAATATACTCTCCCAAAAAAGAAACGTTACACATTCTAACATTTGATTAATAAAAATGAGTGTGTATATTAAACATTTTCCTGATAAATTATATGTAGAAGCAGAGTAGAGGAAACTGTTTTGTAACCCAAAATGAACCGACGTCACACAAGGACAACGGAGAGAACCTCAAAGGTTAAAAACATGTCGCACAAACGCAGCAAATGTCATTGAGCACTGGATATTTGTGTTGTGCATGTATTGAGATTTGAACATTGGGGTTCTAGACTCAACGAAATCAATCGTTTGCGAATACTGAAGTGTGAAACAATGCCAAGATTATCCAATGCTCAACGTAACAACGCTATTGGCAGATTGCAAGCTGGGACCGGTCAGGCTGAGGTTGCAAGGCTACCATAAACAGGTTATGGATGCGACTCACAGCCACTGGAAGAGTGTCCGATAGACCAAGGTCAGGGCGACCAAGAGTTACCACCCCTGCTCAAGACCGATACATCCGAGTTCAACACCTCCGTGATCTGTTTCGTTCAGCCTCAGCAGTTGCAGTAAGCATCCCTGGTTGGAGGAACATCTCCAGTCAAACTGTCCGTAACCATCTACGGGAACACGGAATCCGCCCCAGACGCCCGGCAAGACGTAACGTCCTGACACAACGCCACCACAGGAAACGTCTTCAATGGCGCACGAAATAGTGAGTTAGACCAGTGCAATGGAGGAAAAACGTCTTGTTCACAGATGAGTCCGGATTTCTTTTGAGGACAGCTGATGGCACATTCTCTTCCCACAGAGATTACTTGTCATATCTTCCTACGAACCTCTGTTCTAATACGACCCTTTCATGATGCGAGTGTTCAGGATTCATGATTGGTTGCAATCAGATTTAGTTGTGCAATCAGCGACGTTGTTTCAAAAGTGATCATTCGCAAGGCCTAGGTAATTTCCGTATGCTTCGGGAAAACTAGAACCTCTTCACCTGTGCGATGCGCAAACGTGTCTTAAAGACAGAACTCAGTCATGTAAATAGCGGATCAATGGCGTTTCAATCGCCCTCGTTAAGCTAGCCATTAAATGTCTTGTGTGTCACATCAACACAAGTCCACGGCTGAGGAGGGATATTTGTGGCCCCACATTTGCTTGTATTAGTCAAGTTCGATCTAAGTCGATGTAACACGTGTTCTGATTGGATAGAAAGAAGGGAGACAATTTGTGTTGCGATTTTGTGCCGCTAGGGGATTTTTTGAGAACCGGGAAATGTGGCCGTATTAGAACAGAGGTTCGCAGAAAGATATGACAAGTAAACTCTGTGGGAAGAGAATGCTGATGGCAGAGCAGGTGTCTATCGTCGACGTAATGAACGTTATCAACGCAACTGTGTGCAGGAGGCTGATTGCTGTGGAGGTGAAAGTGTCATGGTGTGGGCAGGGATACACCATTACTTCAGGACAGAGTTGGAGCACATTCATGTGAATCTGAATGCGGTGCAATACAGAGATAACGTCTTGCAGCCCCACGTTGTGCCATTTCTAAGACGTCATGGCGGCGTGTTCCAGCAAGACAACGCCTGACCTCATGTTGCACGTGTTTCTATGGACCTGCATGCTAACAATGTCAACATCTTGCCATAGCCTGCCAGTTCACCGCACCTATCCCCCATTGATCATCTTTGATGTCCTTTACCGAGGGGTACATCAACGTGGCCCACAGCCCCAGAGTCATCAGGAGCTCCTTCAGGCTCTCCAACAGGAAGGAGGAACATTCCCCGACTAACTCTTCGCAACCTGATTGCTTCCATGGGACGTCGATGTCAGGCAGTGATAGACACTAGGGGAGGGCACTCTCGTTACTGATGGCGTGGTTCCTTTCTGGTGACGTCTACAGTGAAGAGAACTGTGTTCTCTGAGGGACAAAAGATTTAGAGTTGTGCACTATAAAATTGTTTTGTTGCCAACATCTACTTTTTGTCAACATGACTCATAGCAAAAATATATAATTGTTTCAATGTTAATGTGTTACGTTTCTTTTTTGGGTGAGTACCAATTTGCATACTATAGCTTGCATCAGAAACGTACATTTTGACTTTGATGAAATTTCAAGGGGTAACAATGACATGATTTGCTCTCCTGTAAACTCATCTATTTCGGATGGTTTTAAAAACAAAAGTTGGGAAAAACAATAGTCATAGCATCTTGAAAAAATAAACTTTAGTTGTGTTCAAAACTACGAAATAAATGCAAAACAAAACCATTTTATTTTATTTCCGTGAGTACTTTAGGTAGCCAAGCGGATAAGTGCAATTTTTTCACTGAATTGTGCACTTTGTGTTACAAGCATGAAATATGGCATGATTGTTGCTTATACCATTCTAATTGAATGAAGGGAGAGAGGCCTCGCAGAGTTTTTATATTTACCATAATTGTGGGGAAAAAAGTGAAAGAAAATCATTTTTTATACTATTTTCGTCATAACTTTTTACAAAATTCTCCAATTCTCATAAATCATATATCAAATTGTAGGAGATTCATAGCTGATCATGTTCCATCTATACATGTCTTTAAATCTTTAACGGTTAGGTCTACGGAAGTCAATTTATATCATGACTACCCGAAAATGGGAAAATTGGAGGCCAGTTTTCAAAATGGCCGCCATATAGAGTACATCAGAAAAATAAGTATGAGATCATCCCATGATGTAAAATATTTTTATCATTTCTTTGCAAAACCAATAGGAGAAGCCTTGCAGATTGTGGCCATTTTTCATTTTTGGGGGGAAAAAGTGGGAAAAGATTGAATTTTCCAAAAAATGTTATTTTAACTCTATTTTAAATCCTCATAAAGTATGTATCTAGAATATTGTGAGTACAGATGGGAGTTTATTTTAAGGAATATATCATTAGATTTAAAACATGTATAATGTATGAGCTTGGTTGGCTATATATCACCTGTAAAAAAATCAACGCAAACATATTTCATTTCAACATCAATGTCAAAGTAGCTATCTCATTAATCTATGGAAGGTTACTCAATCATGTGTAATTGTATCTAGCTTGACTGAATGAGAAAAGTGCAGTGCACTTAAGAGCTGCTTTTAAACACTTGGACCAGTTCAAACATTTTATACACATGCATTTCAGCAATTCCTGGCAGCCCTTTCATGCCAACAGAAGAGTTGTCCATACAGGTCCAAGCTATCCCCTAGAGTTATTGAAAAATGGCCGCAAATTTTCCCATTTTCGGGTAGTCATGATATAAATTGACTTCCGTAGACCTAACCGTTAAAGATTTAAAGACATGTATAGATGGAACATGATCAGCTATGAATAACCTACAATTTGATATGTGACCTATGAGAAAAATTTAAATTATGACGAAAATAGTATAAAAAATGAGTTTTTTTCACTCTTTTCCACAAAATTATGGAAAATATAAAAAATCTGCGAGGCCTCTCGATCTTTATTCAATTAGAATGGTAGAAGCTACAATCTTGCCAAATTTCATGCTTGTAACACAAAGTGCACAATTTAATCACTGGGCTAAGGCTAGATCTGTGACTTTGTATGCTAGATCTGTGACTTTGTATGCTAGATCTGTGACTTTGTGGGTCTGGAAGGGACTCAAACACAACAGTTCTAGTATCTAAGAAGTGTAATCCCAGATATAACATGTGTAACGTTTTCTTTGTTCACACAGAGCAGAAACATCCAGCTGGACTTACCGTGTGGAAATTCCAGGAACTTCACAGTAGCAGCAAACGTCACGCCTACGGCCATTGGAAAGTAAAGTATTGATACTCCTCTCAAAATAATGATGATAAAATTCTGAGTGTGAGTCTGGGTCTGATGTTAAATTTATTGGATGTGTATATGATCCCGCGGGAGTTGGTCTCCAACAACATGTGCTTGCGAAGGTACAGAGTGTGGTTGTGAATTGTTGCCCAAGACATTCATCCCAGGAGCTTCAGACTCGATTATTAAAATGTAATTGTTTAGTAGCTAAGACATTGCTCTATTGATGTTTTCACCAGTTACGATCACATTGCCAGTAACAGCACAAACTGCTGCTACAAATCAGACGTCGAGACGACCCGGGTTAGAATTAGAATTCTTCAACAACCCATGTTCAACCAACCCAAGATGCGACTAGCGGGATCGGGTGGTCAGGCTCGCTGACTGGGTTGACACATGTCATCGTATCCCATTTACATGGTTCGATGTTCATGCTGTGTATAATAGATTGCCATGTCCAGGCTCGATAATGTACAGACCGTCAACATATAGCTGGAATATTGTTGACTGTGGCGTTCAACAACAAACAAACAAACAAACAAAACCAACCACGTCATGACGTGATGTATTGGTGAGTGTCACATTGTTCTTCCTTAATGGGTGCGGTGGGGTAGTCTAGTGGTTAAAGCGTGGGCTCGTCACGCCGAAGACCCGGGTTCGAATCCCCACATAAGTACAACGTGTAAAGCCCATTTCTGGAGTCCCCCGCCGTGATGTTGCTGGAATGTTGGTAAAAGCGGCGTAAAGCCAAACTCAGTCAGTCAGTCAGTCTTCTTTAATGCAGGAATATAGATATTCCCAGCAAAGGTTTGTTAGTACTTATTATCTACCATCGTGTCCCAATGAAGGTCAAGAACGCTGATGACAATGTTTTGTCAATGGGCATAGATATGGACGGCTGGTAGAACAACCACATAACCCAGTGACCCCATCGTTACGGCCAAGAGAAGGTCTAACATGTAAGAGGAGAGGCAACCGTCTGTGTATATTGTACATTGGTTGCTGGGGACCTATTCTCACACGGACTTAACATATAGGAACACACACGTTTCTACCATGACACTCAGCAAGGTTAGTTTGTTGTTTTACGCCGCACTCAGCAATATTCCAGCTATATGGCGGCGGTCTGTAATGATCAGGTCAGGACCAGACAATCCAGTGATCAACAACATGAGCATCGATCTACGCAATTGGGATACGATGACATTTGTCAACAGGTCAGCGAGCTTGACCACCCGATCCCGCTAGTCGCCTCAAGCATGGGATACTGAAGATCAATTCTAACCCGGATCTTCACGGATCTGAACAGTGATTGACTCCTAATGGTAAAATAAATTACAATCAATATTATCACTCCTAATTGGCTTGCGTTTTCATCCAAGTTTTCATCCTCTTAGTCCCGAATACCTCAACTTTTCCAGCAAACTTCGAATGAAGAATCCAGATGGAAAGGAAAACTGACTGACTGACTGACTGAGTTGGTTTTACGCCACTTTTACCAATATTCCAGCAATATCACGGCGGGGGACACCAGAAATGGGCTTCACTCATTGTACCCATGTGGGGATTCGAACCCGGGTCTTCGGCGTGACGAGCCAACGCTTTAACCACTAGACTACCCCACCGCCCCGGAAAGGAAACCATGACGCAACACTATTGTGTTGACTAAAGTATGTTCTGTTTTGATTTCGATCTGGAAAAACATTTCTTGTGTTCACATTACATTTTCCCTTTCTTTAGAGTACACATGGACTTTCTAAGTGGGGCAAATATTCTGTGTCATATCGACTTCCGACTGGATGATAACACGGTGGTATTTAGCTCACGCTTCGAAGGTGTTTGGAGATCGGGGATTACACTAACGCCAGTCCCAATGTCAGTGGGTACCGAGTCTCTGGTGGAGATACGACTGGACCAAGGAATGTACATGGTATGTACTTGTTTCTGATACATCTACTCGAAGTTCATCACATTCAGGGTCCATGCAGGTAGCAAAGGTACAGTAAGTTCCCATGGTCCCTAGTATGGTGATCTACCTTCTGTTGTTGGCGATCTCTAGCCTGTTTTTATATGGTATTGTCCCAATAGTGCTATTAGTTTTAAACTTTCCACGCTAGTTTTAATTCTAATTGTGATATTCTAGTTGTTTTACTGTCCTTCGTCAACAGGTTTTTATAATAAACATATATTCCACTTCAGAATCAAATATGTTCTCGGCACGATATAGCTGCAATGTTGCCGATGTGACGTTAAATAATAACTCACTCACTCATCACATTCAGCTTATACGTTTTGCGTGAAGCATATGTTTGATGGATTGACATTTGTCTCATCAAAGTTTCATTTATGTTAAGGTGCAAAGAGACAAATATCCATCAAAAAAGCCCAGACCAATTCCAAATGTTATCGTCCATGACAGGCTGCAAACCCCAAACTCGTCCATTTAATTTGAATCGGCCTTTACAATGGAGTATGCATAAACCTCGTTTCTGTTTCGCAGTTGTATCTTTTCTTTCGTATCACTTGCCATATGAGTAACCGGAGTGTGCTTATACCACTTGCAGGTGCATCTAGGCTGCATCTTGGCTTGGTAAATCACGATTGGACGATAACACGTTCGAAACACCTATCAGGAACGATATTGTGCTGAAAAAGCAAAAACATGAATCATCAAAAACATGATCAAAACAAACCATTTCACAGTTTCTGTAAACGAGCCATGCTGGACACAATGTCAATGTTGATTTTGTTGATGATTCTGTACTGCGAAGTGTCATATCGAATTAGCACATACTCAAGTTTTCAATGGGGAATACTCTCAACGATTGCTGAACAAATGTATCTGCAGTGTATTGAAAAGAAGAGCAGCCTTTTCCTAGATGAAGTTAAAAGTGAAACAGAAGGCTTTCTGCTTGCCACTTAAAATCACTTCCCATTTGTAACCATTAATATGTGATTTGTAAATATGGCATGCAGATAATTAACGTAATACACATAATGAGATTTATGGTCGGAGAATGCCCAGAGGGAGCACAATATTGTTGATTTGAATTGTTCGTCTTCACCATGCTTTGGTTTTGACTGCAAGATCCATCCAGAATATATATAAGTAGTCATGGGAAATTACAATAACAAACTTGTTTTGGAATAGACCAATGTACAGCCTCAGACGTGTCCAAGCCAACAAACCTGACCTTGTATTTTATAAATAACAAAATATGTATTGTCATTGAATTTTCTGTCCTCTTGAAACTAATCTGGCGAAATTAAGGACAAAGTGGTAAGTATGTATGTCTCGCTTGCATCCCAAGAACACTGTCGTCAGGCTCCCCATCGTGTTCGGCGCCATGGCTTGCTTCCTCCTGGTATCTTGGCGCAGATGAGTGCCCGAGTTGTCCACTCTGGGTAATGCAGAAGGCTGCAGTATTGGGGAGTCTACATATTTTCCTGGTAGAAGCCTACAGTGTCTGCGCTGCGTGTAGAGTGAGCAAGGGTACCTGAGCCAAAGTGGTCTATCTGTGCCAGGATCGCCATTATCCTCTTGCTGCATTAGGGCGTATCTTAATCTGTGATGCTAATAGGATGTATGTGTGTAAATGTTCGTGTGCGTGTGCGTGCGTGCGTAATCAATGGATAATCGATGTTTTATTTAACTCTTTGCAGCTTGCTGTGGATGGATCAAGCATACACAATTTCACAGACAGGTACCCGAATGAGATCATGGAAGGCCTCTTTATTAGTGGTGATGGCAGAGTAACAGCGGCCCGTTACACCATCTAATATTGTTGTCACTTTTGATTGTCGGCAACTACCAAGCCACTGGCGAATTTGACGAGTTAGCTTTTTTTCAAAATATGAAACCATTTCTGTGTTGGACTTGATGTCAAGAATAGGTGGTTCAACGTCTGTGCTTGTTTTGACCTGTGAAGTTGTTCACAATATGCCCTGTTCCACTCAGCAGTACATGGGTACCAGGCAGGATGAGATTGTATTTTGCCGTTTAAACTTCTTACAGTTGATGACATCTATACTCCGCTAAGTAGCTAATAATGAAAATCGAGTGTATACTAATCCATGGAGATGTTTCACGTATCTTCGTGAATACGGGGTACTGTGACCAGATGTAGTTTGAAATACTCTCCCTTGTACAGATTCATAACATACGACAGAGAACTGTGTTTAACGTTTAGAGATTGAGCCAGAGATAGACGGTGTATTTGTTTATTAAACTATTATTTATGGCAATATTTATGTACTTATTTATGTATTTATTTATGTATTTTTTTAGTTTATTTTTTATTTATTTATTGTTTACTTAATTTTATTTATTTATTATTTATTATTATTTTTATTATTTAATTTACCTTTTTTCATTTTTTTGGTAGGGCAGGTCCGTGGTCTTTTAGTATTGGAATCTTAAGAAAGCCGATTTGTGGTAACATGATGTCTGTATTTATTGTCATAGAGTTGCGTGTAATATATAGGCATCAGTCTATTTCGTTGTGCAACTTATGATGTATTCGGGGCCTTTGTATATGCACAGTTAAAATATGAAAGCAACACAATTTTCGTGTAGGCTATTCAATATAATGGCACCAATACATGTAGCTCTAATTCCTTCACCAATGCATATAATAATTTGTTTAACCTATACATTATCTAGTTCCGATGAGGAACCATCTCAGCTTAATATATTCACTACAACTGGGATAAGTTTGAAAAATATATACGTTTTGAGCTTGAGGTCCTGCACTAAAATATTTATTACAACTTCTTCGTTCTTATTGCTTTGTCGTTGAAGATGTATAGTGTCTGTTTTCAAATAAATATATATTCCAATTGTATGAGCAAATGTGTTTGGTATTTTGTCAAGCATACATCAATGCCCGGGTTACGATCCACAAAACGCACTATGACATTCGTATGCCTATGGTAACGTTACGAATGTTGTGTGGATTGGGACCGTGAGGCGTATAACATGCACATTGGAGATTAATACAGGAAAAGATAATGACCATTACAAACCCTGACGTGTATGGCGCTGTTGAACAGGTTGTTCACAACTGACGACTCCGACACTGTGTTGAGTAAGGTTGGCAGGTAATGATACACACACCAAGTCGTCGGAATCTTTTAGTTCACTCCCCTGAGGGGAACATATAGCACACTACGTTGATAATGAATACTCTCTCACGGATATGACGAAAAAGGGTTGCTTTTCTTACTTGCAGTTTATCACTGGATTGTCTGGTCCAGACTCGATTATTTACAGACTGCCGCCATATAGCTGGAATATTGCTGAGTGCGGCGTAAAACTAAACTCACTCACTCACTCTTACTTGCAATGCCTTTAACCAATTACGGTTATAACGAACTATAAACAGTGGTCCCTTTGAGTTCGATATTACCGTAGTTCCTTATACGCATTCAACTAAAACATACAATATATAAACATACGGTCGTGGCCCAGGATGTCATCGAGCATTTTTCATACATGGAAATGGAAATATAGCAGAAGACAGAAAACAGAGTTGGTGCCTGATCCACAAAACGTTCGTAGCACTGCGACAATTGTTTGTCTATGATAAACTACGACAGCTCGTAACGTTTAGAACGCTTTGCGGATCGGGATTTATTTAAAGACAGGGAGAAGGTCACTTTCCTCATTAATTTGAAGTTAATTCGCTCCGGGTTTGTATGTCGTAAACAAGATACGAATAGTTCGGCAATTTGCAAACCGAAACATAAATCTCATTAACCTACTCAGACAATGACCTACTTTTCAGCCGATCCGAATTTTCTTGTGTGAAAGTGAAAAGAGACACTACAAACAACTATGGTTACAATGAATTCCATTGTTCCATAAGACAATGGTATTTACAAATGAATTTTAATTTTAAACTTTAATAACATCGTATTTCTAATTTTTATGGCGAGATGTAAGCAGCATGACCTTAACTAAGACGTCACAGACTGTCCCCGTTTGATGAGGTCGTAAAATGATTCACAATGCATCTGGCTCACTGGTTACACCTGCCATGTATGTTTTGCGCTTTTCCAGAGTAGTTCTGTAATACACAATGTGATTGATATAATATCAGTTCCGTACCAGACCGCCAAACGTTCCAAGCGGCAGACCCTCGTTTTGAGATTTCAACGATTTCCAGGTTTCCGTATTTGTCAGAGCTCGCTGTACTACAGAGCACGCTGCACGACGTGTTAGCAAGGATTAGAAGGAGCATAGCGTTGCAATAGACAAGTGCTTAGATGTATCAAATAATACTGATTAATATTTATGTATCCAGTTAAATGAAAATGGTCTAAATTCCGGACTGGTTATTGTACTAAGTTGCGCAATAGGACGGAGCCCAGTCAACAAGAAACGAGACTGTTGTGTAATCAATGTTTTGACTTGAGCCGGGAACATACGAAACGTAGCTGTTAAGAAACTGGCTTCCACAATACCTGTTGGAATTGAGTTCCTTGATACCTGGCCTCAGACAATAAGAACTCGACATTAGTGTGCAAGACAGGGAATAGTTTAAAAAGTACTTTGAACCTCTCACAGTTATTCGGTGAGCACATGACACTATGTACACACATTCTTCACACAACGAATTTAAGAAACTAAGTATTTTATTTAAAAGTACTCACATATAAAAAAATTGCAAACTATTCAAGATGGCATGAACGCAGAGTTGCGTACATCAATATGAAAAAGTAACTTTCTTCCAAGCATATGTAGAATCATGCCTGTTGAAAAACACTGAACAAAAATATTATTGTGTTACTTATTGTCGATAGCCAATACTCTCGTCTATAAACGATTCGCATCATGTAAAATAAAAACAAAGAACAAATTCACTGACATTTCACATGTTAAGGGAGTTGCAACTTAAATGCCTCGAAGAATTATTAATGCCCCTAGATATAAGTAAACCTCCGATTCTGTCATGTGATATATATATATATATATATATATAAATTGCTTCACTTTTTAATTGATAACACAAAGCAAGTGCAACATAAGCATTCGATTATCAAACAAGGGCAGCATTAACATATCTTTACTGGAGATCTGAAGAACATTGATAATGTTTATCTTTTTAAGGTACGACGGTCAAAAAACCCGTCTGAATTCAAATACGCGTGCGCTCACACAGACGCTGTTTCACATGGACTTTGGAATAAACGAAGCTGCACCTCGAATGGAAGTCGGGGTCTGATTACGCTTACTGTTATACAAGACACTGATTACACAGAGAAGCAGGATCACCTGCAAAGCTACCCTATAGATGCACATATAAGCATCTTTAAATTCGCAGGACGGTTGCCATGGCAGCAAAGAATGCCAGGATGCAGCTGGTGCTGGGGACGGAGACGGAGGCAGATGCTGTTGCGACGACCTCCATTCCTTCCATCAGGTTGTAGTGAGTGCCCCTGATACCCTGAAACAAAATACAACATTGTTAGTGACTGGAACACCACACAACATTGTCAGTGACTGGAACACCACACAACATTGTCAGCGACTGGAACACCACACAACATTGTCAGCGACTGGAACATCACACAAAATTGTAAGATACAGGAACACCACACATCATTGTCAACGATTGGAACATCGCACAACATTGTCAGTAACTGGAACACTATACAACATTGTCAGCGACTGGAACACCACACAACATTGTCAACGATTGGAACATCACACAACATTGTCAGTGACTCGAACACCACACAACATTGTCAGTGACTCGAACACCACACAACATTGTCAGTGACTCGAACACCACACAAAATTGTCAACGATTGGAACATCACACAACATTGTCAGCGACTGGAACATCACACAACATTGTCAGATACAGGAACACCACACAACATTGTCAACGATTGGAACACAACACAACATTGTCAGCACCTGGAACACCACACAACATTGTCAGTAACTGGAACACTATACAACATTGTCAGTGACTGGAACACCACATACAACATTGTCAACGTTTGGAACACCACACAAAATTGTCAGTGAATGGAACACCACACAACATTGTCAACGACTGGAACACCACACAACATTGTCAGTAACTGGAACACTATACAACATTGTCAGTGACTGGAACACCACACAACATTGTCAACGATTGGAACATCACACAACATTGACAGATACAAGAACACCACACAACATTGTCAGTGACTGGAACACCATACAGCATTGTCAGTGACAGGACACACAATATTGTCAGCACCTGGAACACCACACAACATTGTCAACGACTGGAACACCACACAACATTGTCAGTGACAGGAACACCACACAACATTGTCAACGACCGGAACACCACACAACATTGTCAACGACTGGAACACCACACAACATTGTCAGCACCTGGAACACCACACAACATTGTCAACGACCGGAACACCACACAACATTGTCAGCACCTGGAACACCACACAACATTGTCAGCACCTGGAACACCACACATTGTCAACGACTGGAACACCACACAACATCGTCAACGACTGGAACACCTCACAACATTGTCAACGACTGTAACACCTCACAACATTGACAGCACCTTGAACACTCTACAACATTGTCAGTGACTGGAACAACACACAACATTGTCAACGATTGGAACACAACACAACATTATCAACTACTGGAACACCACACAACATTGTCAACGACTGGAACACCACACAACATTGTCAGTGACTGGAACACCACACAACATTGTCAACGACTGGAACACCTCACAACACTGACATCACCTTGAACACGCTACAACATTGTCAACGACTGGAACACCACACAACATTGTCAGTGACAGGAACACCACACATCATTGTCAACGACTGGAACACCACACAACATTGTCAGTGACTGGAACACCTCACAACATTGACAGCACCTGGAACACTCTACAACATGGACAAGGACTGGAACACCACACAACATTGTCAACGACTGGAACACCTCACAACATTGACATCACCTTGAACACGCTACAACATTATCAGCGACTGGACCACCATACAACATTGTCAACGACTGGAACACCACACAACATTCTCAACGACTGAAACACCACACAACATTAACAGCACATTGAACACTCTACAACATTGTGAGTGACTGGAACACCACACAACATTGTCAACGACTGGAACACCTCACAACATTGACAGCACCTTGAACACTCTACAACATGGACAAGGACTGGAACACCACACAACATTGTCAACGACTGGAACACCACACAACATTGTCAACGACTGGAACACCTCACAACATTGTCAACGACTGAAAACGACTGAAACCCACACAGAACCACACATACACGCACAAAAACACACACGTCGTAAAGCTGGAATACGTCATCGTTAAACAAAAATTTACAACACAGAAACAAAGCGAGACTTACCATGCCGTTGCAATTTCTGATGGCAAAGTAAAATTCTTGGCCACTGTTATCCGTCAGATCGAAGCGCCCGTTGCATTTGAGCATACGCCCATAGATGTCTTCCCCGTTGTATCGACAGCTCGGCTCGAATGAGTGGAGAGTGCGGTGCCAGTGGAATTTGGCATCGCTGCAGCTCTGGATAGTAACGGGAGAACACCAACATATAAGAAAATCAGCCGGTTAGGGACAGGGCATGAATGATAAGGGATGAGAGGAAGGGAGAATATATGTGAGTGAGTGAGCGAGTGAATATGGTTCTACGCCGCATTTAACAATATTCCAGCAATATCACGGCGGGGGACACCAGAAATGGGCTTCACACATTGTACCCGTGCGTGGATTCGAATTCGGGTCTTCAGCGTGACGAGCGGACGCTTTGCCGATTAGGCTACTCGATCGCCCCCCTTAGATTTGGAGGTGACCAGTTGGTCAATAAATAAGAAATTTTGGGCGAGGTGTGCAATTGTGCCGGCTGACCTTAGAGGTATCCTGGTATCAAACAAACCAGTCTGACTGTGATCCGTCTCAATAATACCCTTAGGTACAGCAGAAATTTGATCCTAGAATAGCAGCTTCAGCAGTGATCACCTCAAGGGTGTTTGTGGTTCTGTCTTCAAGGAAGCCATACGGTCTACCCAGAGAGTCTATAAAGTCTTTTACTTCTAGGACCAATTCCTGCCTGGAAGCACCACGATGGTCCACCACCTGTGCCCTGCATTACTTAGGCTGACACAGCGCCACTTACATCAGTGAGTGAGCATGGTTTAACGCCGCTTTTAGCTATATTCCAACAACATCACAGCGGTGGACACCAGTAATGGGCTCCATGCGTTGTACACATGTGGGGAATCAACCCCCGGACTTCAGCGTGAAGAGCTAACGCTTTAACCATCAGGCGACCCCTAACTTACATCAAGCAACAGCGCAGCTAAAACAAAACCCATTCACTCAGCTCGCAAACATACTGTGTTAGAATTCTTCGCCATGTCCATCTCCTTCCTTGGGAATGCAAGCAGATCAATTCCTCCGTACATCTGAAACACCAAAGCAGCATGTATGTATCATGAGGAATGAATGTAGGCTGAATAAAACCGACAAATCCGTTTCCATAGCCATAACCTTATTTGGGATGTTTCTTGATGCATCATAAAGAGCCTGACCACACATACCCGTCAATCGCCTCATAGGACAAGCATATTGGTTGCTGAAGATCAATTCTATCCCGGATCTTCACGGGTTCTGTGCTCTTGTAGAGATAGTAACGTGACTTGGGCTGATGTGATATATATCTTTGCTTGTGTGTTTAAGTCCAGATATATTACGGCGATTTGTAAATAATCGAGTCTCGACCAGACAATCCGAGCATCTATCTACACAACTGGGATAAAATTACCCTGATCAGCTTGCGTTGCTGATGTGAGTGAGTGAGGTTAGTTTTACGCAGCGCTCTGCAATATTCCAGCTGTATGACGGCGGTCTGCAATCCAGTGATCAACAGCATGAGCACCGATCTACGGGATACGATGACATATCTCAACCAAGTCAGCAAGCCTGACCATCCGATCCCGTTAGTCGACTCTTACGACAAGCATGGGTTGCTGAAGATCAATTCTACCCCGGATCTTCACGGTTCTGATGCTGAAGACCAAATCTAAAACGGATCTTCGCGGATTTTACGTGATCTGATTCATCATGTCTATCAACGCTATGAACATTACTTATTATAAAAGCTGTTATTATTTTGTAGTACTTACCTCGGGGAAGGAGATTTCGTATGTGAAAGTAATAGTTCCATAAAGACCGTAGTATGGCGACTGCATGACGAAAGTGTGCTGAAAATACAAACACACTAACGAGTCACTTGGGACATGGCAGCCATCAACTGTTTGTTTATGTGATGCTTAACGCTACACTCACCAATGTTCCATCTATATGACAATCCAGGGACTACCATCGTGAACATCTTTATGTGATACGTTGACATACACTAAGCAAATCCCGTTAGTCACCCCTTGTGACAAACATGGGTTGCTGAAAACCAATGATTTATGGGCGTCTTGCTTACGGAGAAGGAGGTTTGTTAATGCTTGTGCCATGTCCCACAGTATGCACGCAAGGCCTTCTTTGCCATACCAAAGTACTCATTGTCATATCACGGCCTTCATTGCCATACCAAGGTCCTCATTGTCATATCATGACCTCCATAGTCATATTATGGTTTTCATTGTCATATCATGGCCTTCATTGCCATACCAAGGTCCTCATTGTCATATCATGGCCTTCATTGCGATACCAAAGTACTCATTATCATATCATGGCCTTCACTGCCATACAAAAGTACTCATTGTCATATCATGACCTCCATAGTCATATTATGGTTTTCATTGTCATATCATGGCCTTCACTTGCCATACCAAAGTACTCATTATCATATCATGGCCTTCACTGCCATACCAAAGTACTCATTATCATATCATAGACTTCATTGCCATACAAAAGTACTCATTGTCATAGCATTGCTATCATTGCCATTACAAAGTATTCATTGTCATACCAAGGTCCTCGTTGTCATATCATGGCCTTTACTGCCATACCAAAGTACTCATTGTCATATCATGGACTTCACTGCCATACCAAAGTACTCATTATCATATCATGGCCTTCATTGCCATACCAAAGTACTCATTATCATAGCATAGCTTTCATTGCCATTGCAAAGTATTCATTGTCATACGAAGGTCCTCATTGTCATATCATGACCTCCATAGTCATAGTATGGCTTTCATTGTCATATCATTCGAACGTCCTCATTGTCATATCAAGGTATCCATTGTCATATAAGGGCCAGGGCACCAGTAATACGTAACAGATATCATCTGCAGCACGTTGAGCCAGTCCCAAATACTCCATTGTACATAGTATGGTCAAGTAAAGATACTATCCACTCGCATGTGACTTCACGAAGGTGTTGTATTTAAGTGATGTTAAGGATGTAAGTCTCACAGGACTGTTGCCAATGTGTTGCGGATGGTAAATGAGTGAGTGAGTTGGGTTTTACGCCATTTTTAGCAATATTCCAGCAATATCACGGCGGGGGACACCAGGAATGGGCTTCACACCTTGTACCCATGTGGGGACTCGAACCCGGAAGGTGGTAAATGAAGAGATATATGAACTGGATCAGTCTCTGGCTTTTGAATAAACCGAAGCAACACGGCAGGTACATACCGTGCAAACTTTCACTGTAAATAGGGGCGGTGGGGTAGTGGTTAAAGTGTTCGCTCGTCACGCCTAACTCCCGGGTTCGATACCTCACATGGGTACAATGTGTGAAGCCCATTGCTGGTGTCCCCCGCCGTGATATTGCTGGAATATTGCCGAAAGCAGCGTAAAATCACTCTCACTTGTGTAGCAAATACGTACTCGCGAGTGTATAGTAACACACATATACACACAAACGAAGAAGTGCATGAGAAGAGATATTCATGTCTCCCTTACCCACAAGTAGCAGCTGACCTGCAAGGGTCCCCGTGATCGTGGCAGCAGTGTTCACGGTGAGTCAACCTCATGGGAACTTCATACAAACATTATAGGGCACTGCAAGGTAATACTGGTGAGGGGCGACCAAATTGATGGGGTTCTCAAGCTGCGTGACTTGCTTGATAGCATGTTATGGTATCCTTGTCGACAGACACTGTATTTACAGTTGTATTGCGTCAACGCCCGTCAGACAATGCCAGGGTCAGATTCAACGTCACGACGTCTCCGCTGGCGGTGGAGGAACGCCAAATGTGGCAAGTCGGTTTTGTTTTTGTGTTTGTTTTTATTTCGTTTTTTGTTCGTTTGTTTTTAGGGGGTGGGGTTGTTTTACACCGCACGCAGAATTATTCCAACTATTCCGGCGGTCTGTAAATAATTGGATCAGACAAGAATCAATCGTAAACGCCTGTCAGATAATACTGGGGTCAGAGTCAACGTCAATATGTCTCAGCCAGCTGGAGGAACGCCGAATGTGACGTGAAGTTTGTTGGTTTTGTTGGTGGTTTTACGCCGCACTCCGTTATTCCAGTTTTATAGCGGCTTTCTGTAAATAATCGGGTCTGACCAGATAATTCGGTGGGCGACATAATGAGCGTCGATCGACGCATGTCAAGGTATCCTTTTCGGAAAAACCCTCTTGTGAATTTACATTCGTACAGCGTAAATGCCCGTCAGACTGACTGACTGAGTTTGGTTTTACGCCGCTTTTAGCAATATTCCAGCAATAACACGGCGGGGAACACCAGAAATGGGCTTCACACATTGTGCCCATGTGGGGAATCGAACCCGGGTCTTCGGCGTGACGAGCCAACGCTTAAACCACTAGGCTACCCCACCGCACCGCCCGTCAGACAATACTGGGGGTCACGATGTCTCCGCTGAAGGTGGACGACTGACTGACTGACTGAGTTTGGTTTTACGCCGCTTTTAGCAATATTCCAGCAATAACACGGCGGGGAACACCAGAAATGGGCTTCACACATTGTGCCCATGTGGGGAATCGAACCCGGGTCTTCGGCGTGACGAGCCAACGCTTAAACCACTAGGCTACCCCACCGCACCGCCCGTCAGACAATACTGGGGGTCACGATGTCTCCGCTGAAGGTGGAAGACTGACTGACTGACAGAGATTGGTTTTACGCCGCTTTTAGCAATATTTCAGCAATAACACGGCGGGGAACACCAGAAATGGGCTTAACACATTGTGCCCATGTGGGGAATCGAACCCGGGTTTTCGGCGTGACGAGCCAACGCTTTAACCACTAGGCTTCACCCACCGCCCCCAAGGTGGAGGAACGCCGTCGTTCTTTGCTTTTTGAGGGGGTTGTGGTTTTACGCCACAGTCCAATTCCAAGTGTTCCGGCGGTCTATATATAATCAGGTCAGACAAGACAACCCGGTGATCGACATCATGAGCATCGATAGACGCAGCTGAGATATGATGGCATTTGTCACCTGAGTCAGCAAGACAGACCACAAGATCCCGTTAGTCACCTCCTACAAACAGGGGGTTGCTGAAGACCAGTTCAAAGTTGGATCTTCACTGGTGGCTTTGAACTTGGTGTCTTTGTGAGTAAGTTATTCCAACAATATCACGACGTGAGTTCACACTTGAAGGGGGACAAGTTTTACTTGTTTGTGTAACTATATCTTTATATATACACAAAGAACTTAGTTAACCACCCCCCAATATATCTCACGATTGAATGAGCCCTGATTTTAACCCTTTGGAGCATATCTGGGACATGACTGGTCGTCGTGTGCAACAAAGGGATCCTCCTGTACAGAACCTGGCCCAATTGGAAGCTGCTTTACAGGAGGACTGGCGTTGACTGCCACTTCAGAGGATCAGGAGGCTGTCAGGGGTGATGAGGAGAAGAGTGCTGGCAGTCATACAGTCACATGGAGGTTACACTCTGTATTGACATTGAATCGTGTATGACACGCAAAATGACATTTTCAGTGTTCACATTCACCAATAAATTCAACATTAAACATTCAAGGGCCATACTTGTACAGACATGGTTTTGTATAAAAGTCAGTGTTTGTTTGTTTTGAAATGGTAATTATCATCATAAAATCAACATACATTTCAATCATTTTGCCGTTTGTTATGAGTCAAAGGATCATACGCGTCAGAAAAATACAGTTGTGCTTAATTAAGTTCTTTGTGTATATTTTAAATGTCTGTGACCTTGGTGAGATGTTACAAAACAGATTGGCCGCTGTGCATCACAACTAAAGTTGACTACCCTCGGGACAGTGTTGCTCAGCGACGGAGCATAGTGTGGTGATTGACTGAATGCTGCGGTCAGAACTAGTCCGTCAACATAACTCCGGTCTAAGAATGCTCGATCGGGCACACTACACAGACACATAGCTATAATAGAGGCCACTCAACATGTATAGGTATATCTGGATATAAGACTACCCTTGCCTTACAAACATCCCAGGTTGAAGAGAATAGGTCCGAGGGCACTCTTTTGACAGCCACTGAGCACCTCGTCATGCTTAAATGATCAAGACATTGTCTTCCGTGTCAAGGCCACCGCTTGTTGCCGGACTGGAGAGACTCGCCCTGGGACAAACCACTGATGTGATTCACACACGAAATTATTCCTTGAGCAGATCTAACCTTTAGAAACCTTTTCAAACTTGTATCTTAATGTCTATAAACCATCATACGAGGGCCTTCAAAAATTCAAATTCAAAAAGCCTTCAAATTCACCTGGAAAATGATACAAATGCAGCTGTTTTCATGTTATATTTTTCTACATATTATCTGTCATTGTCAACCTCAAAAATCTGGTTTTGCTAATTTACAGCCTCACGATCCCAAAACAAAACATGCAAGATACATTTTGGGTGTTCGAGATCTGCTTTGATATTGAAGTGCATAAAAAAACAATTTGAAACTACAATCGCTTGTTAAAGTGACTCCCCCCTTCATGTTTACTGAAAACTGCATGTTGTTAAGAAATACTAGTATTATACCCAATACGTTGTGATGACTAATATCTCGTTAACCACATTACCCACATATGTAAAATTTTGTATACGGCTTTGCTAATGATTCCATTAATGTAGAATGGAAACTTATCAAACAAGGGACATCGAGAACATAGTGAGGCGTTTTGAACGCCCCTTGTACAGCAACCTTTCATCTACAGTTTAAGACTGTCTGCATTATGCATTGAATCCCATACACTGATCGTTTCAAAACCCTACGAGTTTTGTTGCGAGAAACTATGGTTAAGTGCTCTTCGTACACGTTATTTATTGCGTGCAAGGAGTGTTATTTATCATTGTGTCAACGCAACAGCGATGCACGTCAGTTCTTTTCAAGGATGGGCGATCTTAATGCTCATTTTCTTCCAGCATATATTTCATATTCAAGTAAGGTCTTAACAAAGACAAGCGTGTTTTTCCTCTATGGCCTCATTCCCCGGGGATCTGGAGCACATACTACGTAATTAACAGACTAGAACGCTTACCAGATCTCAGTCAGCACTACCTGGATGTTGACGAATGCAGTGTACTCATGAATACATGTTTATGAACATATACGCATTAAACTGTATAATGTACTGATTATATCATATGTTATATCAACCATGTCGTCAAACTTTCAGTGAGCCAGCTTTGGGGTAGACAAACATCTAGTATCTGAAAAGGACATATTTTACAGAAAAAACGTTACATAAAATATGATTAAAATCTATCTATCTATCCTAGAAAATTGTAAAGCGCTGATATCCATAAAAATGCTGCTCAAAGCGTCTGAGAAGGAGTCTAGAGACTGTGGTAATCTGGACTGGCGTGGACTCTCTTGGATATGTTTGTTTTCAGTGTCTGTTTGACAGACTATTGTTCTCAAGTTTGGCCTTTCAACAAATAACAGTTTACGAAGTGCTGGAATTTGACCACTCGATGTGGCAGGAACATTTTGAGAGTTTGTCGAACATCTGGTATCGGTTATTCGTTGATAAGACATCCAGTCTGAACAGACACGGAATTTGTAAATTGACGGTGCTGGGTAGTGTGTAAACTCCGCAACAATCAACAGACGATGACCGATGGTCAATCCAGTGTAGAGCAGAAAATCCCCTGTGTCTGAGTAATGGGGTAAACCAGAGACGTACTGAGACCCGCAACAATCAACACACGATAACCGATGGCAGTGTATGAAATAAGGCCCGTCCGACCGCCCGAGACGGCTAGATTTCTGACGGACGGTCTAAATTTACAGCTAGCCAGCCCGATGGTCTGGTAAAAAGTTTAGATGTTCCATACATTTGAGTAAATTCAACATATTTGGTCTGGTTAAATCCATTTGGGCTGGTTACATTTTGAAGTTACCAGCCCTGATGTCTGGCTGGATTTTGGGCTTATTTCATACACTGCCGATGGTCAGTCCAATGTAGACCACCGTGTCTGTGTAATGGTGTAACATCAGTTCGAGCCGTGTCTCCGTATCAAACATTAAACGGTCAATCAGGTGACAAAACAGGTACAATAGATTAATGATCCAAAACAAAATACCTTCTCTGTGTCGATACGCCCACTGGTCTGGAAGCCCTGGGCACAAGTGGACACACAGATGACCACGGCCATGTACAGAAATGTCGACATCGTTCCTGATTTACGTGAACAGCAAGTGCGCGATCTGGAGTCTTGGCGTGTACTGTGAGAGACCCAGGTAGGCTGGGCCTGTTATTGTGAAACGATGCAATTGTCTTGCGTCACGCACCAGTAAACTCAGGTCACGGATCTGTTTCCAGCTTCTGGTGTTCATACGGGGCCTTCAGACGAGCGAGGGTTAACACCAGGTCACGGGTCACGTGTGACCTTCAGACGACTGACGAGGAGTTTTAGTTTTACGCCGCTTTTAGCAATTTCCAAATATCACGGCGGGGACAGGAAATGGGCACGATGTGTCGAACGGGTCTTCGGCGTGACGAGCCAACGCTTTAACCATTAGGCTACCCCACCGCCCCTAGAAGCGTGACACACCGATCACATTGTTTTGCTTATTCTTACGACTCTTTAAAACTTCTATCCCTTCCCGGCTAAATTGACATTGTGTCGCCTAAAGCAAACCTCTATCCTAACTTCTTCAGTCTCGTGAAAATACAAAAGCAGTTGACGTCAATCATAATATCGGATGTTGCATGACGTTCCCATAAACATGGCAGTTCCAAATCATAGTTTCAATCACAAAACGGTTCTTATGCCGTGGATACGCACGGTCATTCAATAAGTGATCAACTATAACAAAACATATGTTATATTTTGATAAACTTTCTGAACATGGTACATATTTTAGTACGTTATTTTATGTTCCAGTGGGGTGGGGTTCGTTGCCATCGGGAATTGGAGCCCACACTGTAGAGTGGGGCACCCAAAGTCAGCAATCTTACCCACTTAGCCTTCCCGGCTTTTACAAGGAATGGTTCTTAAGCTGTTTCATTACAAGTTCTTCGTCAGTTTCATTACAAATTCCATGCTCCTACCTACCCCACCAAAATGGTTAGTCTCAAAGATAAGTGTGTCAATCATGAGTGGGTCTAGTTTAAATCCACAAAGAATTCCGGTAACGCGACTACGATCAGAACATCCAGTGATCATTATGAACACTGATCCATTACAGCCTGTCACGATGTCGCGAAATCATCATATTTTTATAGCTAAATTGATTAAATTTCTGCTGTGTAGTACTGATAGTGAACTATCAATAAAGTTGAATAAATACATTCTATAATTCATTCAAAATATGTGATATCGTTTTAATACTTCAAAATGAGTGATTTCTGGTCCGTTACTCTTTAATACAACCTTATTAGGTAACTATTGCTTGACAAACCAACCTTGACTTATGTAACATGTTATATTTGAGTTTACACTTTCTTAGTAAAAATATGTGACAACCTTGACTAATCTTTGTATAAGCTGTTTGACAGTAAGTGAGTGAGTGAGTGAGTGAGAAATCCTAGTTATGGTCACAACTCGTTCACTTTAAATTCAAGGAAAATATAGATAATTACGCAGTACGTGTGGGGATGGTTCATGAACAGGAACAAATGTACATATTTATTTCTTAAATACCATCCCAACCCACATTCAATTGTTCTCATCTCTCACAAGCATTACGCTGCAGTTTGTCCTGAAGGTGAACGCCATCCGTGAAGATCCGGTTAGAATTGATCTTCAGTAATCCTTGCTTGTCGTAAGAGGCGACTATCGGGATCGGGTGGTCAGGTTCGCTGAATTGGTTGACACATGTCATCGTATCACTGTTGCAAAGGGCGATGCTCATTGTCAATCACTGGATTGTGGGATCGAGACTAGAATATTGCCATGTGCGGCGTTAAACAAAAAAAACCAAATGACTGGTGCGCGTAAATTTATATGTAGTGAACTGTCAGTCTGCCCGAGACAGCTGTCAGTATTACTGCAGCAGTAACCTGCTTCGTAACACATTGTATACCAGGGCTCTGTTTCACAAAGCCCTCGTAAGCCTAAGATCTCGTAACATTTCTCGTAGCATTCGCTCCTCCTATACTGTAACATAGGAGGTACGAATGCTACGAGAAAAGTTACGAGATCTTAGGCTTACGAGAGCTTTGTGAAACGGAGCCCTGACTTTCGCGGCATTCCATCTGCCAGACCTCTACTGAAGGAAAGTGACTCTTACCCAATGAGACGTAACTATTGTTTGAGTTTGCCGGTCATTTCAAAACGTTCCGCTGTGTTGAACAGCAACAACATGAAACAAGGAAACGGTTCGGACTATTTGGTCACAATTAATTAATACAAGTATAAAATTAAAGCATAAGATTTGAATAGTTGATGTCACAGATTCCCAGCAGCGTGAAACATATATGCTACAAATATGATGATGGCAGTTATACACCAAGGATCATAATGGGTGAACATGTGATTTAGACCAAAGATCATAAAAAACGGTGAACATGGGTTTAGGATCATAAAAAAGGTGAACATGTGAACATGTGGTTTAGACCAAGGATCATAATGGGTGAACATGGGATTTAGGACATAATGGGTGAACATGGGATTTAGACCAAAGATAAAAACGGTGAACATGTGGTTTAGACATAATGGGTGAACAAAAAGATCATAAAAACGGTGAACATGTGGTTTAGACCAAGGATCATAATGGGTGAACATGGGATTTAGACCAAAGATCATAAAAAACGGTGAACATGTGGTTTAGACCAAGGATCATAATGGGTGAACATGGGATTTAGACCAAAGATCATAAAAACATGGTTTAGACCAAGGATCATAATGGGTGAACATGGGATTTAGACCAAAGATCATAAAAACGGTGAACATGTGGTTTAGACCAAGGATCATAATGGGTGAACATGGGATTTAGACCAAAGATCATAAAAAACGGTGAACATGTGGTTTAGACCAAGGATCATAATGGGTGAACATGGGATTTAGACCAAAGATCATAAAAAACGGTGAACATGTGGTTTAGACCAAGGATCATAATGGGTGAACATGGGATTTAGACCAAAGATCATAAAAAACGGTGAACATGTGGTTTAGACCAAGGATCATAATGGGTGAACATGTGATTTAGACCAAAGATCATAAAAGGGTGTACGAACATGTGATTTAAGCAAAGGATCATAGAAAGATGAACATGTGATATAAGGATCAGCACCATGGTACCACAGCAAGTGATGGAACAACATAGCAAACCTCACTTTAGAAAGCAGCAGACAACCAAAGCCCCTTTCATGAGCAGACAACCAAAGCCCCTTTCATGAGAATTAACTCGTATTCCAAGAGACACTTGACAAACAAGCATAGATACATATAAACAGAAATAAATATTTTATTTACATATATATATACAACATTAATTGCTCAAACACATTTACACTTGTATGTATGTAGTTTGTGCCAAATATTTTGTGGTTACTGCCCAAACTTGGCTCTCAGCATTATTTCTCAAATGTTGTGCGATAATGGATTGCTAGTCCTGAGCTTACAAGATATAGTTACATAACTTGACAAACACCTCCAGTGCTAGAGTTTCAACCAATCAGATTCCAGAACACACTCCATATAATATTTTTCCAACCTATTTTTCATCAGATACCTCTGCAGTGAAGACATTCATGGCTTCTAGATTATCATCACACTTTCACAATACTCTATACAGCCCTTGACTATAAGTGCACTGCATCCAGCCTTAGACATTTCATCTGAGAAAGACTATTGGGGAGGGCACTGAACACTATCAACACTCCTCAGGCAGGGCTCGACTTAACTATATGAAACGATTACGACCTAATCTGTCGAATTTTGAACAGCCAGCAGTGCCGATCCGTCGAATCATGCTTGAGTGGTTCTGTGCTACTCGGTGAAATTTCAGACTGTGTTAACACACTGGGAGAGTCTAAGTTCATTAATTAAGGGGTCGGCTTGTATTGGATTAGACTACATGCTTTTTTTAATGAACAAGAACAGATTCCGGTGAAGACTTTCTGATTGCTGACATCGAACTGGGTATCATATGTTAGGCAATTACTATTTAGTTATGGCTTTGGATGGACGTGGCTTGCACAGGATATAGGTAAGCTCCGTAGAGCACTTTCAGAGTTCAGATGTAGTGCTCATAATTTCTGCATACAAAATCCCGGCGGGCTAAAAACCCTGACCCTGATGTATCGATTTGCCCGTTCTGTAGAAACGCAGATGAAGACGAGTTTTCTATGTCCTCCTTGTATGTCCTAGGTATGAGGAGAGCAGACAAAAGTATCTACTAGAATATTATACAAAGCACCCATTTTTTTATAAGTTTGTAGGACCACTAGCCAACGAAAATGAAAAAGCTTCCCTTGTGTTAGCAATTTTTATAACAAAGATATTTGAGATTAGAGAGACCTAAGTTTAATCCTGACCGTGCGACTTTGTATACCTTACATTATTATACTCCAAGGTTTATGCACCAAATCTCAATTACTACTCGAGAAGTTTGAACATTACGAACTGTATATTTCTCCTTATGAATGCATTTTATTTAATGCATCAATTTCAATTCTGTACAAACGTAAAAAAAATAAAGAGAGTCCAAACATATATTTAATGCATCAATTTCTCATTGTATCATATGAGTAGGCAAAGATATATACTGTACAAAAGTACAAAAATATAGAGAGTCAAACCATCCAACACCCCTTGCGTCTTTTTGTTTGGTATGATCCAATGTTTTGATAACTAATTCATAGCTAAGATCACAGTGCCGATCCGTCGAATGCATTTTACTTCTCTGAAATCAGAAATTCGACGGATCAGTACGCGACCTATGAAACAAACACCAATGCAATCCCAGGGATTTACATGGAGTCCTGTATTTGAGGGTCCCTGGGACTCATACTCTTAATTTTCAGGGGTCCTGGACAACAAAGTGGGGGTCCCAGACACAAAGTTTCACTATTAATACTGTTATTGTATTGTGTATCATGATCATCACATTGTTACAGTAATTAAATTGCAAATGATAGCATAACCCAGCTAGTAGCAAACTCAGTGATAACTTTTTGTCACTTGACTGGACTTTTTACAAAAAGTATTTGGGCTTTTGAGTCCCTGTGGACGTGCTAATAAATTTGGTTGCGTCCATTGTCAATTGTTATGCGTATAGGACGCAGGACTTTGCGTCCTGTAAATCCCTGCAATCCAGTACTGAAAATGCAGCCTAATTTCTAGGTCCACAAACTTCAAGAGGTAAAATATTGAAGGTTTGTCTTATCCGTTTAACATTTGTCTCTGAACAGATTAAAGCTTTCTTTACCAAATCTATCACCAATCTCTGTGTCGTATAATTTGACACAGTTATTGGGCTTGACATCATCATACATTAATGAGTGAGTTTAGTTTTACGCCACTTTTAGCAATATTCCAGCAATATCATGGCGGGGGACACCAGTGAGTGAGTGAGTATGGTTTTACGCCGCTTTTAGCAATATTCCAGCAATATCATGGCAGGGGACACCAGACATGGGCTTCACACATTGTACACATGTGGGGAATCAAACCCGGGTCTTCTGCGTGACGAGCCAACGCTTTAACCATCAGGCTACCTCACTGTCCCTCATCAGACATTAGGGAATTGGGAAAGTTTTGTACCATAGCTTCATCCTTCACAAAAAATGACCAACGCATCACGTTTTGATATTTTCAGAAAAAGAATTAATGTAACTTATTTAGAACAGATAAAACCATGGAGCAACCTGATTGTGTCTGATGCAGCCAGGTTATCATGTCAACAGACACCTAGTCGACGTTAAATCAAGTTCCTTGAGTCAAGCCCTGTCAAACTTGTACCTGGTCCTACTTGATGTCTACTTTGTTTAATTACTCTGCTAGTTATATTCAACTTATCTGAAGCAGACTTAATGCAATAATAGTCATCCCGTGCCTCTAGTAAATGAGGACTTCCATCATTGGATTTCCTCTTGACCTCAGCACAATTAAGTAGTCACGGGCAAGCGACCAGCATGAATTATGAAGCCTGTGTCTCATCCTCGGAGTCTCCTGATGGGTTTGGCGTAGATGGGTTGCATGGCGTGCGACGTCAGGTACAGCCCCAGACCCACCAAGACAAACAGTGCACACACAGCAATCAGACCAGATCTGTAGATGATGGCGTAGTCGTATATCTGAAACATCAAACATATCTCGTTGATATCAACAGATCCTGGTATGGTAATGGGAACAAAATCTGCATAGCAACTCAAACCTAATGATTTAGCACCTTTGAGCAGCTGAGCTGGATATTGGTGCTATACAAATATTAGTATGTATGCATTTAACAACCAAAGAGTGAGTGAGTGACTTTAGTTTTACGCCACACTCAGCAATATTCCAGCTATATGGCGGCGGTCTGTAAATAATCAAGTCTTGACCAGACAATCCAGTGATCAACGGCATGAGCATCGATCTACCCAATTGGGAACCGATGACATGTGACAACCAAGTCAGCGAGCCTGACCACCCGATCCCGTTAGTCGCCTCTGACAAGCAGCATGGGTTACTGAAGATCAATATTCTAAGCCGGACCTTCATGGGTTTCCTCTGCCACAGATCGCTGCCAGGTGAGGATTTGTCATATCTTACACAGTTTCTCATTTGTTTCATTTGTAAGAAATCTGCATATCTCAGTCCCTCCTGGATTCCGCAGTTGCAGAATGAATCGCAGAAATTACCTTTTGATGCAGAAAGACGTCTGCTCTGCAGAAAACACATTTTCATGCAGAATACCTGCAGAATTTGCCATTTTTCTGCCACGGAATTTACTTATTTTGAATGTTAAATCAAGATTGACTATCAACCGAAACGAAACGTAGGGGTAAATGTCAAAAGTACGATTGATAACACACAAAAAAAACCATTTGTTATACCGATATTTTCAAAATATTCACAAACAAAGTTGATTTATGCATAAGGTAATCGTTTCATAAGCACCTTACAATACTATTATTTGAATCTGACACTGCAATTAATTATGTTCACAAAATTGATCGTTTGAAAATTTAAATCTCATTATTTTGTACAGTCACTTTGATGTAAAAATATGCATTGTCAAAAGCTGTCATAGGAGTGTGCACAGTGAGTGAGTTTAGTTTTATGCCACTTTTAGCAACATTCCAGTAATATCACTGCAGGGGACACCAGAAATGGGTTTCACCATTGTACCCATGTGGGGAATCGAACCCAGGTCTTCGGTGTGACGAGCAAACGCTTTAACCACTCGGCTACCCCATCGCCCCAAAAAGTGTGCACAGAAAAGCTTGCATTGATCCAGTTTGCTCTGATTTCAAAATATGTGGGTTTGTAAAAGTGAAAAGTCTGGTCATGTGATATGCAAATTAGCCTGTGGAGGCGATCCTATTCTAAGTCGCCACTGTGCCAGAGTGTGTCCGCGAGTCATGAACAAAAGGGAGTAAAATACATCTTCTACTTGTGAGTCAGAGACTTCTGAAAAAAAAGAAGCCAGTGTCTTGTAAAATACTGCTCAGTAATATTAGCCAAGAAAAGAGCACAACAATTGTGCAAACTGAACAAATTCAGGCATGTAACCTCAAACTTAGGCTCAGTATTATTCGTTACACTGTTAGTGTTATACTGAGTCCAACAAAACCTTGTAGAAGGTCGCGTCAGCTAAACTTTTGGACTGACCAATCAGAACACAGCTTACCAAATTGCGAAAGTTAACATTCGCACATACCGTTTGAACCTTTACCTAAAAAACATGAACGATTCTGATGCTATTTTCCACACGATCGCTTCCGAGTGATACACGCAATGAGTGAACTGTCACTGAAAATAGCGTTTTTGTCAATATTCAAGCATGTCATCTTGCGAAAATATAAGCAAACAGTAACCATGTCATTAAAAACCCCTAAGCGTATATACTGCAGGTCAAATATCTGTGTTTTATGCGGATTTTCGTTTGTTGATAGATCAGTGTCAGCGACCAGGGAAGAGAAAATCCAAAAACCGTTTTGTAAGTCCCGCCGAACCCTAACAAGTAGTCGTTGTCTGATTGGTTAAATCCGTTCGTCCGTCTCGTTTGATTGGACAGTCATAGGTCGCTCAAAGGTTAGCTGACGCGACCTTCTACAAGGTTTTGTTAGACTCAGTATAGTAGTGTAACGAATAGTACTGAGCCTAAGTTTACTTAGACTGCACCTGAATAACAAATTGATGGTAGGTGACCATGGGATTAATGGCAATACTGACATGGGTGGAAATAACCCATTGCCCGACGCCCGAGTCCAGTGTTTTTTTCTGTCGGGCAAGCAAATTTGTATATCACACTGTACCGTGTCCAGTTGACTTTCCAATATTAATTATGTCGTTTATTTAAAAAATCAACAAAAAAATGGCCAGTATAGTGGAAAAATTATCAGGGCAAGTGATTTTACATGTGCCACTGTACTGGAGTACACTAGCAATTTTAAAGTTATTTCCACCCCTGACAGAACCAGTATTTCTAAATTTGTCAAAGATTTTGTCTTTTTTTCTTCAAAAGGAAGTAAAATACACCTAAAAGTTTACAGAAATCAGAGCACATAGAACAGAACATGATGAGATCTAATCTGCCGAAATGCCCAAGGATCATCAAAGAATCAGTTTGGTGCGAATGTTTGTTTATATTGTTTTATGCCTCACACAGCCATGTATAATGGTAAACATTCAACGGATCTAGTTCCGTCTGCTATTCTCGTGGTAAACACATTTTCTGCCGATATCGCCAATGTGCGACACTGAGCGGTTGTTAACCATTGCCGATCGGTAATTAGGAAGTGACCCAAGTCTGCGATGCATCAAAATCTTGCGATGTCACGAATATTTGTAAGTTTATACCAACTTGGACATATCATTTTTGCAGCCCTTTCCGGCAGGATTGCTCTTCCATACACTCCATAATGTTACTTCCTCGTTATTAGGGCTGCAACGATTCACCGGTACATCGCGATACATTTAAGTTTGATACAGCTGGTGTATTGATACAAAATGATACACAACTGTTTTTCAAAACAGTCTTGTCTTAAACATGTTAAAGTACTTCTTTAGAAAAAATAGGCAATTATGATAAGAGTTTCTTGCTTGTTTATTACAATAGTGTTATTGTTATACACAAAATACCTTGCAATAAATCTTACATCTTAATACTGTGCCATTCTTTCAAGGTGCATGTATCGTGATACGTATCGTATCGCAGGTAAAATATCGCAATACATATCATCGTGACATAGTGTATCGTCCCAGTGCTACTCATTATCCCACGAGAATAGGAGAAGCCACATTTTGCCAGTGGCGGATGGCATTGTTTATCACCAGGCTCGCAAGTGGTAATTCACCTGATCATCTAACAGCTGACAGATGGAGATGTTCGAGGAGAAGGCCCTTCATATAACAACAACATGCATTCATACTATAAGAATTGTTTGTGTTAATTTTTCAGCTGATATCCTAAGTACTGCGAGAATAGGAAACGCCTTCATAAACCATGACAGATATTTTGAGCAACAACCTATACTGGGGAGGGGACATAGCTACCATTATTTAAAAAAAAGGCCGGGCTTACACATGATTGTTGCAACAAGGGTTGGGCAAGCTTTCAATACTATCTAATTATAAAGTTTTGCAACCTATTTGGCTTACACGGAAAAAATGGCTTCCTACGCGCCTGACAATCAACCAGCCATGTCACCCGGCCAGTTGCCTCCACCTCTAACCGCATGGAGCAGGACAGCATCACCTACCTTTACTTCATCCTCCACTGAGGGTATCTGTGGTTCTCGGGGGATGAACACAAGAATTATTGTCAGGAATCCTGCGATGAAGATCATTACTGGGCCCATGTTGCTGGGGAAAAAAAAGAAATACATAAACATGTGTTTCTTGGTGATTCAATCACAGTTCCAGATTCATTTGTAAACATTCGAGTATAAAAATCAATCTCAGTCCCAACATTTCGAAAAAATAATTGAAGTTGGCGGACGCTTTTGAACTTTTGCTAGACTAAAATTGTAAAATATCGTTAATTTCCTTCTCCCTACTCAGTTACTCATTTTTCACAAAAACAAAACTTTCCATAGACAGGTATCATTCAGTCAGGTGTGTCTCATTTGTGTCAACATAGGTATAATATTAAGTTTAACGGTATTGTTTCTTTAAAATGTGTGTAATGTTTTCAGAAAACATTTTTCTGACAGAAATATGTTTACGAAGTTGGTAGCCGAACAATACTCACGAAATCGCCGTTTGCGCCCTTGAAAAGACAATGCAGAGTAAAAGGCATAATGTCCAGATGAAGGCCAGGGCGAATAGACCCTCCCCAACTCCAAGAACCCTCGCCATTTTCACCTAAATCAAACCAAACACACCGCCAAAATGAAACTCATGTCAGAACAGCGTCCCTAGTGAACAAACATGGCGGCTTCAGGTGCTCGGTTGTAACGGCAAATTTCATTGGTCGGTTAGCGGGCCTTCACTCTGTGTATCATACAAGGGTATACGTATTTTAAGACGTTTCAATCAATTCATAGGTCGCAGTTGCCTTTATGGTATTTTATATACGGCAATTTAATCGAATACGTTTGTTTCTGACATTTCCTTAAGGGTGCACGAGATAATTAAAATGTCATTATCACTTTAGAATAAAGTTTCAAATCTATACTTTAGATAATGTTAAAGGAATTTTAAATCCAGGTACTATATATGTCATTATATATAAACACTTCATTAACACATCCATCATCATCGCGAACTGGGTATTTGGACATTTTCCATTAAACCGTTTTGTATGTCACCTCTTCCGTTTGTTTAGTGGGCGGTGGGGTAGTCCAGTGGTTAAAGCGTTCGCTCTTCACGCCTAAGACCCGGGCTCCATTCCACTCATGGGTACAATGTGGGATATTGCGAAAAGCGACCTAAAACTCTCTCACTCACTCACGACATTGGCTGCATGTGCCAAAAAGGAATATAAATTAATCTGCCGGTCTTCGATTCCAAGTATTGTTACTCAAATATTTTCTAAAGCTTACAGATGTGTTACCTTCCAACCAACAAGTCCATACAATGTCATTAAATAGTATGATGTGTCTCTTTTGTATTGTATTATGTTTTTGTTTATTTTGCTCTGAGGGTCATATTTTGGAAGTGAGATTTGCCTTGGGATAATATATATTTATAGTTTATTCTCCCTCATTATGTTACAGTACGAGTACAAAACAGTTCGGCTGTAACTCTGCTCACTGTCTCCTGTTTCAGGTTGACGTCTCCCATGCTGTTGGTGGCTCTGGCTGCCTGTCTCGGGGCCTGCTATATCATCAGTCTTAAAAATGCTACGCAGAAACTGGCCATACTGAGGTCACAGTAATGACTACCCCAGGCATTGTAAATGAAATCAAGCCTCAGATTATGATGATACAAATTAATGGGGTTTATTGACTTCTGAATATCAATTTTAGTTTTAAAATGTTCGCTATACACAACGAAACAATTTCTCTTTTTTAATTTTCTGCCCCTTGAATGTGATATTTATCTAATGAACAAAAACCTTATGTGAAAGTGTTGTATATATGCCCGTATTTTACATATTTGTATATATTTGATGTAATGAGATAGTGTATTAACGTTTTACTGTGATATGTTAAACATAATAAACTTGTATAGCTGATGTACTTAGCTTCCGGTTGACTTGTCTTTAATTCAACTTTAATCTATTGGGTAGCTCTGGGGTAAGATTACATAGCTTGGACCAGGCCTTTGTTTAAACAGCTTACGCCTGATTGGCCTTGTGTAAAATAATAACGCTCAGCACTTCACCAGCACAGCTGACAAGCCACTGCAGACTGAGTAAACAGGGTCCAGTAAACCTGAGTTTCTCACAGGTTAGTTATGTATTTTGTATGTTTTTACTATTATGTGTACATGTATATAGTGCATCATGTTTTAAAATTGGAAAGATCTCCTCCCGTAAACCCCGTATTTTTTTATCATTCTGTGCCTAAGAATATAGGCCTATGTTGTTTTTGTATACAAAGCCTAAACTTAACCCTAAACCCTCGAAATAATCCTAATAAATAAAATACATTTCAAGCCGGGGTTACGGACGGAACTCTTACCTTAAATTTATCTAAAGAATCAATACAGGTATATCCAAAATGTGATTTGACAGGAACAATAAGTCGGTTTAATTCACATAAACAGGTCGTCATCTTTCCACTTTCTTATTTCTGTCTTTGAGAATGAGTGAGCGAGTATATTTTTTTGTTTTATCATATATGTCTTTGTTTATAACTAAGTTCGTTATGCATTTTTAAGTGTTCATAAGTATATTGTTTGTCATACACAGTAAGTTACCCAGTTTCCATTAGTACATATAGTTGTTTGTATTTAGATGCACGAGAAGCTATTTATCAGCACTTTCAAACAAAGATCACATATCTGTATCCAGGATTGACGATTGTCTATTTCAACCTCAAATTATTTGTCATTCTACTCTGGATTTAAAATCACAGGGGCGTATCTCGCTTAGAAACAGCATTAGAAAGACATATAGGTATACAGACCCTACCCTTTATAGTAGTAAGGTAGGGTCTGTATACCTATGTGTCTTTCTAACACTGTTTCAAAGCGAGACACACCCCTGTGTTTAAAACTGACTTTAACACAGAAACATATATGTATTACCTGCCTTCAAGTCAAGTCTTTGGAAAGTGCATTATGTAAAATCAGAAGAATGACTGACTGAGTTAGGCTACCCCACCGCCCCTAAAATCAGAATAACATTGAAGAATCTGAAGGCAAGTGGATAGAGGAAAGAGAACAACAGTGCGACCATAACGTCTACTGTGAACATTGCATATATCGCTGCATCGAAGATGAAGTTAACATACTATTTTCCTGTCCAAAATATTCTGCACTCCGAATGAAATATTTATCTTGGCTAACCTCTGTTGTATCAAACAAATGTAACGTCATAAAACTTATTTCTTCACAAAATCCACAATCAAATTACTATCACTATCTGAAGCCGTTCTTAATTCTTAGTTTTGTACATGGAATGTAACCCACGTGACAAAGTCATATGTTTTGGTCTGAGTTTCAGTATTTAGATGCAGGGGCGGTGGCATAGCCGGGTGGTTAAAGCATTGGAAAGATTTCCGCCCGTAACCCCGTATTTTTTAAAATCATTATATGACTAAGAATATATTCGCCTATGTTTTTTTATAAAAAGCCTATACCTAACCCTAAACCTAACCCTAAAATCAAGCCCCAAACCTAACCGTAAACCCTTGAAATAATCCTAAGGAATAGAATACATTTCAAGCGGGGGTTACGGGCGGAACTCAATACCAAAGCATTCACGCTGGTCCGCGTCACTTCGTGACTCGGGTTCCACTCCCTACATGGGTACAAAGTGTGAAGCCCAATCCTGGAGTCGCCCACCCTGATATTGCTGGAATATTGCTAAAAGCAGCATAAAAACATACTCACCCATTCACTCACTATGTAGATGCAGTTGGGATAATCAACTAGAGCAGTCTGAGCCCCAGAATAACCAACAGGGTACGTTGGGCTTATTCCTACAAATAGGGATGTGAATTGGCAAATAAATTGTTTTGCAATGTATTGCGATACCTACCGTACTGCGATATATTGGGAACTTAAGTGTTTGACAGTGATACTAATTGTGCATGTCAATCCTATTTTCTACATAGTAAGTCCCTAAACATATATGCTATATAAGGTTCTGATAACAGCAATCTCAAAATTAGGTTGGATTATGTTCTTTTTTTTATACAATTTACAGTACTATAGTATTCAGTTTTGTCATTGAATAACGACGAAAACATCTGTTGTAAATAAAAGGATGTGCAGATTTTAATTTAAAACATAAAGATAATCACAATCTTCAAATATGTTCTTTACCAATATTCCCGTTCTCAGAAAAAATATTGCAATACGTATGTTTGAAAAGCGTATTGCGATATACTGGTAATATGGCGCTGCCCTACTTACAAATACCATGAAATGCGAATTAGTGCTTCATATCTATCGGCATGCCTAAATAGCAGGATAAGTCGTCGCGCTGAAGACCCGGGTTCGATTCCCCACATGAGTACAATGTGTGAAGCCCATTTCTGGTGTCCCCTGCCATGATGTTGCTGGAATACTGTTTTACTGCCTTAAACTCACTCAGTCCAGTACATCAGTTTCCTTGATGCAACCCCAGCTGGATTTGTATCCTCCTCCTAGTTGCTTGCGATTATTGGCAAGATAAGTCAAAAACAGATCTAATATGTCCTACCTATGTCCACAGGAAGAACACTTCCAAGAACGGAGGGATTAGCATACCCTCTCAGACAACATTTATTTTCGCCATTTCAACCGGCTGTGAGCAGATAGATAGATAGATAGATAGATAGATAGATAGATAGATTCAGGTAAATACAGAATCTCACCCGAGTGTCTTTTGATATCAAATATATCACGAGTTGATAAGATTCAGGTAAATACAGAATCTCACCCGAGTGTCATTTGATATCAAATATATCACGAGTTGATAAAGTAACAAATATCCGAGGCTTGCCGAGGATAGTTTTACTTTTATCAACGAGTGTTGATATATATGATATCAGAAGACACTAGGGTGAGATTCTATTTATCATCAAAAATCACTCTTCATTAGTTTTCAATGAAAAATGTACATCTCTGAACACAGTACTGCCATTAGATTTGCAGTGCAGTGATGTCATAGCATTGTGACGTCATCAAGTTGATGACATCATAGCATTGTTAGGGCATTGTGCAAAATCTACTGTCAAAACGATATCTCCTAGGAGATATCGTCTGATCTCATACAAGCGATATCTCCTGTGGAACACAGTTTTGGATGATAATATGATTTGACTATTAAAGGGGGATATGGGCAGAGAAGTCTTTCCTTTTTTTTCTCAACGTGGAACAAAACTGTTTGAAAAGTGAGGGTTTTAAACTTTACTCCCCTTGTGATGATATTCCAGCGATATCACAGCGGGGGACACCAGAAATAAGATTCACACATTGTACCAAACCTGGGTTTTTGCAGTGATAGGCAAACCACTGCCTCTTCTATGAGCAAATTAACATACAAATCAAAAGAAAACAGAAAAGCCAGTACCACAAATACACATTTATTCACCCCTGATAATGACGCATCTAGCAAAAATAGTTATCACATTGTCAATATATGCTTGGTGATGAAATAAACACACATTCCACGTAGTGGAATAACAATATTTACAAGCAACTGTACAGGGACATAAACCATACCCAGTACTGTCCCCAAACAAAACACTGATAAGGTAATTCTTTTACATCACATATTCTTGCAAAAATAACCTCATCAATGATGCCATTGTGATCAAAGACATTTAACTATACTATTCCACTTTAGATAAGAATAGTTTTCATTTCCTTGAAACACAATCTGATTATTCTTATGAAACTTTGAGTAGTATATGTAAGGATTGTTTATAGTGAGGTAAAATTTAACGCCAATATGTTTTTAAGATGCTTTAAGAGTCTAAAGCATAAATACCCATTTCATAAAAGGTTGAATCCATTCAGTACTTACATGTTACTTTTTTGTACTCTGTTAGGTGTTGAAAGCCCCCAAAATATCTTTAATAATAAAACAAATAAATCTAGTTTAATGTTATTCTCCTATCTTCCCATCACCACGAATGATTTGACCCCCTCGCTTTCACAAGGTCCATAGTTCCCAATTCTTTACCACATGTGATGGACGAAACCATTCAATAAAATAGTGTAACAGTAATATCATAAGCCATGTCATGCTCCAAAAAGAATCATACCAAAATATTGATATAACCAGACAAGTGCTTTTTTTCAGAATCACATGTTTTTTCAATTAAATTTTCATTCAACAAAGACTTTGGGGAAGTGTTGCTGAACAAATTTAACAGAGACCATCATACATTAGCACAATGACATGAAAACTATGTATATCAAGTTTTTTTTACGAAATTCGTCAGCAGTTGTGACATTCCATCCCACCTAATGATGAAGTTGTGATGTGTTCAGCCATGATACCACTAAGCGTTCACTGTCTACTGTAAAAACAAAACAATTCCTTCATGTTTTATTGATGACTCCAGATTTTATGCTATCAAAAGTATAAAGAAAATCCAAATAATTGAATTACAAAAATTGAAAATAGACTGCATTTGGTGACAAAATGCTATCCAAATTTAAAAAAAATTTTTTTCTTAAATTTTGTTTTCTTTTGTTCTTCTGGCTCTGAATAAGTAAAACTGAAAAGTCTTTGTCTAACCTATCAGATAATTCGCTACAAATATTTTCATCCAACAGATAATATTGCCTAGTAAGTGCACCCAAAACTTGTCTATATCGTCCACTAACCACCTACCCACATCACTAAACTCCTACAGCAGTCCTATTGTGACACCCCACTCTGCTATATACAATACCCTCCAGATACATAATGCCTTAGAGTGACGTACATTTCATGCAATACGCACCTGCAGCAGTGATTGACATACAGGGTCCTACTCCCCAAAGCAATCTCAGCACCAAGTGGACTGTAACTCCCATATTAGAACCTAGGCTAAGGGTAGTCCCTAGTGCTAAGTCTGTTTTTTGAAGTTGGACAATAAAAAGTACCCAGGATATGTACAGATTTGAATGATAGAATTAATAATACTTGCACTGTCTAAAATCATGGAAACCAATACTTCAGGTAATTTTCACCCATTATAAATTTTCATTGATGAAATCAGCTTCAGCAGATCATTGAGGCTGGGCATTGTCTGGCACTGACTTCTTGTTATCAAATTTACACTTAACCACAGATTCACTATCTGTCTTAATAAAACATAGCCAAATACTTTTTAACAAGTAGATCTTTTTCCTAATACAAACCAATTGACAAAATAATGCTGATTAAACAGAACAAATGTGTAAACAAAGTAGGTCACTATTCGAAAACTGAAAAATAAAGAGGTCATGAACAGGGATCAAGATTTTACTTTCGAGACTACTCCTACACAGATCCACTATCTGTCTTAAATGGAACGTGGCCCAACACAATTGAACATGCTCCTGATTCCTGGCTGATCCATTTGACAAAACAATGCTGATGAAGATGAGCATCAAGAGCCGACACATCCAGGATAAAGGATGAGCTGGATGAGGTGCAAAAGACAACACATTGTGATTCTGATTGTCACTTCCGTGACCTATTGTCTTCTGGCTGCATAGAGAAAGTTTTGACACAGGTTGAGAAGAAAAATGTTCCTGGAAGCGTCATAACATGAACTGTGTTAGTGTCGTTGATGCTCAGCTGTTAAAGATTCTGGAGATTCCCCTCATGTTGCTATCGAAACCTGGAACAAGAATTTTCAGGTATGAATAAAGTCGACAAACCACAGACTTCCTAGCTGTTAATACTTGACACATGAAGTGTTGGTGTGTCCAGCAAGGTGATGGTGGTCAGTAATACAGGTGTCCGAGTCTGAACCACTCAAGCCACAGATTGATATTGTGAGCACTGACTAATGCAGATATGGCCAGGCTTGGGCATGATGAGACTGACTGACTGACTGAGTTTGGTTTTACGCCGCTTTTAGCAATATTCCAGCAATATCATGGCGGGGGACACCAGTGAGTGAGTGAGTATGGTTTTACGCCGCTTTTAGCAATATTCCAGCAATATCATGGCAGGGGACACCAGACATGGGCTTCACACATTTGTACACATGTGGGGAATCGAACCCGGGTCTTCTGCGTGACGAGCCAACGCTTTAACCATCAGGCTACCTCACTGTCCCTCATCAGACATTAGGGAATTGGGAAAGTTTTGTACCATAGCTTCATCTTTCACAAAAAAATGACCAACGCATCACGTTTTGATATTTTCAGAAAAATAATTAATGTAACTTATTTAGGTCACGGCGAGGGACACCAGAAATGGGCTTCACACATTGTACCCATGTGGGGATTCGAACCACTAGGCTACCCCACCGCCCCTGGGCATGACGAGAGGTCACTTTAACCACTTGCCTACCCAACTGCCCTGCATCAAAGAAGACATCGCCGCAACAGACCAGAGAAGGTGGGGGAATTAGGTTTAATTAATTGTTACAGCAAACTATTACAACTGTCCCAATAGTTTTGATATAACAATAATGAAAAGTTCATGCAAGTAACAAACTATAGACACTAACAATATGGCAAGAGTGACTTCATGTGGTATTTAATCTGTTTCAGTAGACAGAATTTCACAGTTAATGCAAGCCACTAGACAGCCATGATGTAACACAAATTCCTGAAAAGGCATTAAAGTATTATTCTATTCTATTCTATACAACACAGCAACACATCACAGCAAGGCAACTAACTATATGAAGGCTTGAAAGGAGTTATCATGAAAGTTATGCAAAAGATGCTCTGCAGAAAAATGGATTTTTTTCTCTGGTACAGGAAACTTCACAGAAAAAGTAATCACTACAAGCAAACACTACACTCATGTGTGGTGTGTCATGTGGTGGTGTAACAAGGTGTTACTTCATGAGATGTGATGTATAATTTAGTGAGTGAGCAAAAATGTGCTATGGCATGTTATGTAACAATATTTGATTTGATGCAAGATATTATGGTGTGATGAGATGTGAGGTAACGTCTGATGTGATGTGGGATAACTAATGTGATGAAAGGTTGGATAACACACAATGTGATGACATATGATCTGATGAGATGAGAGGTAGAATAACATGATCTGATGTGATGATAGGTAGGATAACATGTGATGTGATGAGAGGTGGGATAACATGTGATGTGATGAGAGGTGGGATAACATGTGATGTGATGAGAGGTGGGATAACATATGATGTGATGAGAGGTGGGATAACGTGATGAGATGAGAGGTGGGATAACGTGATGTGATGAGAGGTGGGATAACATGTGATGTGATGAGTGATGGGATAAAATGTGATGTGATGAGAGGTGGGATAACGTGATGTGATGAGAGGTGGGATAACATGTGATGTGATGAGTGATGGGATAAAATGTGATGTGATGAGAGGTGGGATAACATGTGATGTGATGAGAGGTGGGATAACATGTGATGTGATGAGTGATGGGATAACATGTGATGTGATGAGAGATGGGATAACATATGATGTGATGAGAGATGGGATAACATGTGATGTGATCAGAGATGGGATAACATGTGATGTGATGAGAGATGGGATAAAATGTGATGTGATGAGAGATGGGATAACATGTGATGTGATGAGAGGTGGGATAACATGTGATGTGATGAGAGGTGGGATGGGATAACATGTGATGTGGGATAATGAGATGATGGGATAACATGATGATGTGATGAGATGGGATAACATGTGATGTGATGAGAGATGGGATAAAATGTGATGTGATGAGAGATGGGATAACATATGATGTGATGAGAGATGGGATAACATGTGATGTGATGAGAGATGGGATAAAATGTGATGTGATGAGAGATGGGATAACATGTGATGTGATGAGAGATGGGATAACATGTGATGTGATGATAACATGTGATGTGATGAGAGATGGGATAACATATGATGTGATGTCTGGTAACAAAATGTGATGTACAGCAACAGAAGGTAAGGTATGTACCAGTGTAAAACACCGAGTTAGTGCAAGGGAGACAACTCAGACAACTTGAACCTCGTCCATGTCGATGTCGAAGGCCTCAGCCTCTTCAGCTGTCACATGCAAGGTGGCATGCAGCATGATCACAAAGAAGGAAGCACCTGCAAAGAGAATCACCATGGCAACTACAGTTTGGAATCAGTTCAACTTTCAAGACTGATAAGTCTGAACAATATATAATCACATAAAAATGACATAAATAGTAATAATACTTTTATTATTTTTGTACTGATTTACTTTTAAAACACAATAACAGTCAGTATGGGAAAAATGTTATTAAAATTGCACAAAAAAGTGTGGTCATTTTATCTGGATTCTGTGATCTTCACATGTTGAATTGTAATGCCAGTATTAAAACTTTTATCACTGAAATCACAAAGAATCAAAGAACGTTATAAATAATACAAATCATTTTTGACAACTTTGTTGATTAAGTGCCTGATTTCTGTGAATTATTCAATGAAGCAGGATCTGAAACAATAACATCAAAACCCTTGAAGACACATCATAATTACAGCTACTAGATGAATCTACTGATCAACAGTGGTGTCTTGTGCGGTTGTATACCTTGTATCCAGGCAACACATGAGACTGAGTTGGGTTTTACGCTGCTTTTAGCAATATTGTAGCAATATCATGGCAGGAGACACCAGAAATGGGCTTCACACATTGTACCCATGTGGGTAATCGAACCCGGGTCTTCGGCATGATGAGCGAACGTTTTAATGACCAGGCTACCCCACCGCCCCTGGCAACACATATGTACAATCACTGAATGGTTCAAAATTCCCTTAATACGACTTTTGTTTGTTTATTGTTTCAGTAATTTCCCATGTATATGACAGCGGTCTGTGAATAATTGAGTCTGGACCAGACAGTGCAGATTTCCAGGCCTCGGATCCCATCATACAAAGTCTTTCAACCCTTTGGTTTGTAATATTCCACAACAATAATATCCTTCCAATGTTGACAATACAGGGTGAGATACTGACCTATGACCCAGAAGACTGCAGACCCTGCCCCAGCCAGCCAGAAGAGGGGGAAGGAGAGCACCCCCACGCATGCATACTGCTGGGCTACTGTCACCTCCCGACCTGCAATACAACAAGACACACGCATTAATGAAGTGAAGAAGTTTATTCGGTATATGAGCCCATATTTCATTAGTTCACAACTTCATACAAACAAGAGTCATCAGGAGATGACATATCACCCCGGCCCCCACATACTTGAAAGAACAAGTACATGCCCGGGGGATAAAAATAAGTACAACATGCTGGTTGTGGTGGTATGTTTATTGTGTAATGCCGCACTCAGCAATATTCCAGCTATATGGCAACGTCTGTAAATAATTGAGTCTGGACCAGACAATCCAGTGTAATATCATGAGTATCAATCTACACAATTGGGATACGATGACATGTGTCAACAAGTCAGCGAGTCTGACCACCCGATACTGTTACTAGTGTTAGACGCCATTTAAGACAAGCATGGGTTGTTGAAGAACAATTGTAACCCGGATCTTCACGGGTCACAAGACACTCATTCCTGAAGTGAAGGAGAAGTTCATTTGCTATATGGGCCCACTACACTTCATACTTACACAACAAATAATAAATACATACAACCTACTGGTGAGGCTTAGAAAGCAAATGAAGCTTTGGTGGCTGAATGATTCAAATTGCTGAATTTTTAGGAGACTTAGCACCTCACCCAGAAATATGGGTTTCAAATCCTGGATGGGACACACACACAAAGAACTAATATTTTGTAATTCACAAGAAAGTGTGTTTCCACTTAAAGTAAATCAGATAATGTTAGTAGTCACAGGCATTTATTCTAAAAGCCTTCCAAAGTCTGAATATTGAACAGTTGCCCACCAATAGTCTTTAACTGATGTTCACCTGCCGATAGTTTGATTGTCCTGCAATACATACTCATGCTTGTCTAACTGATTATGTTCAGAAAAGAGACAATACGAAGTAGACACATGCTATTTGAGAATGTAATTTTGAATGACTTCTTACGACTGAAAACCAAAATAATAAAACGACCCTCCTGTATCCAAGCACATGCGTTATCACAGGGACATTATCTCAGCAAGAAGTGTTTAAAACTCCCAAAATTCCAAGCTAGACAGCTGGACTGTTAACAAATTAACTGTCCAGATACAAGCTTGCCTGTCCGGTTTTCAACAATTAGAAACTGTGACTGCCATTTCCAACACGTGCAAGCTCCATACACTGTTTGGAGGCATCACAATGAAACTACATAGCACTAACAAGCAATGCACCGAGTTTAGGAAAACTGAAAGTACATGATTGTGATTGGTTATCGAACATGAACTGTCCAATCATAAGTAGTTTAACATAATTATCCTAATACCTTAAATACCTCAAACTGACGACAAGGCAACCTGTCTGATATTATGAAATATTTACTGTTAGAGGTAAAAATATCTACCAGACCACCGGACAGGCTACATTTGAAATTTGACTGTCCGAGATGAAAATAGAGCGTTCCAGACGGTCGGGAAGGCGGGAATCTTAAAAGCTGTTAGCAAGTATTTTGAATTTAAGTTAAACATAGTTCCCAAAATCATGATTATTCATGCAGTCTGGAACGTGCCCGAAATACCAAAAATAATCACAACTTTTTGCACCTTATCCAACATGTATGAAATTTGACACATCAGTTTGTACCTACCAAGTATGGCCAGTTTCTGTGTAGCATTTTTAAGACTGATGATATAGCAGGCCCCGAGACAGGCAGCCAGAGCCACCAACAGCATGGGAGACGTCAACCTGAAACAGGAGACAGTGAGCAGGGTTAAAGCCGAACTGTTTTGTACTCGTACTGTAACATAATGAGGGAGAATAAATTATGAATATATATTATCCCAAGGCAAATCTCACTTCCAAAATTTGACCCTCAGAGCAAAATAAACAACAACATTATCAATACAATACAAAAGCAACACATCATACAATTTAATGACATTGTATGGACTTGTTGGTTGGAAGGTAACACATCTGTAAGCTGTAGAAAATATTTGAGTAACAGTGGTTGGAATCGAAGACCGGCAGATTAATTTATATTCCTTTTTGGCACATGCAGCCAATGTCGTGAGTGAGTGAGTGAGTGAGTGAGTGAGGTTTACTGTTGCATCAACATACATCACAGCGTTGTTTGTTTGCATGCTTGTTGTTTAACGCTGCTGTCAGCGATATTCCAGCTACATGGCGGCGGTCTGAAAATAATCAAATCTGGACCAAACAATCCAGTGATCAACATCATGAGCATGGATCTATGCAAATGAGATACAATAACATGTTAGTGGTAGTGGTGGTCCGAAAGCAGTCTACCAAGTCAGCGAGTCTGACAGACCAGATCCCGTTTATCGCCTTACGACAAGCATGCGTTGCTAAAGACAAATTATGACCCTGATGTACACAGGGCAATACAGGTTTCACCTAGTTACCACTTTCAGGAAAACCATGAGAACAAATATAGTGCTCACAAACCAAAACTCTGGATGAACTGAGACTAGACACAACGCATAAAGAACATTTGCCAGTCAAGGATCAAACCTCTAACTCAGGCCTCAAGCTCACACCTGCAGCTCATGCCTCTAGCTCAGGCCTCAAGCTCACACCTCTAGCTCACACCTCAAGCTTATGCCTCAAGCTCACACCTCAAGCTTACGCCTCTAGCTCAGGCCTCAAGCTCACAACTACAGATCAGGTCTCTAGCTCACCTCACCTATAAGCTCACACCTCTAGCTCAGGCCTCAAGCTCACAACTACACTAGCTCACACCTCAAGCTCAGGCCTCTGGCTCAGGCCTCGTTCCTCACAGCCTCAGCTCACACCTCTAGCTCAGGCCTCTAGCTCACCACTACAGCTCACACCTCTAGCTCAGGCCTCAAGCTCACAACTACAGCTCACACCTCTAGCTCAGGCCTCAAGCTCACCACTACAGCTCACACCTCTAGCTCAGGCCTTAAGCTCACAACTACAGATCACAACTACAGCTCAGGCCTCAAGCTCACACCTCTAGCTCAGGCCTCACAAGCTCAGGTTTCATGCTCACAACTACAGCTCACACCTCTAGCTCAGGCCTCAAGCTCACCACTACAGCTCACACCTCTAGCTCAGGCCTCAAGCTCACAACTACAGCTCACACCTCTAGTTCAGGCCTCAAGCTCACAACTACAGCTCACACCTCTAGCTCAGGCCTTAAAGCTCACAACTACAGCTCACACCTCTGGCTCAGGTCTCAAGCTCACCACTACAGCTCACACCTCTAGTTCAGGTTTCATGCTCACAACTACAGTTCACACCTCTAGTTCAGGTTTCATGCTCACAACTACAGCTCACACCTCTAGTTCAGGCCTCAAGCTCACAACTACAGTTCACACCTCTAGTTCAGGTTTCATGCTCACAACTACAGCTCACACCTCTAGTTCAGGCCTCAAGCTCACAACTACAGTTCACACCTCTAGTTCAGGCCTCAAGCTCACCACTACAGCTCACACCTCTAGCTCAGTTAAGACCTCAAGCTCACAATCTTCCTAAATCCACGAGGTAGGACAATAACCTAACTTGGTTCCCCGGTAGGTCTTCAGCAACCCATGTGCTTGCCATCATATGTTCTTTAAATAATGGTCAGTTTCAGGACTTGGTTGAAGTATTTACACACTCGATATGATCACTGGATTGTCTGCAGAATACTCAGACCGCAGCCATTCTAACCAATGAACACTTTTCTTCTTGAAATTTGGACATTTATCAGCAGTTTATGAGCATTTAGTCATTTTGAGAAGTTTATAGCTTAACATCTTAAAAAATTATACATGCAAATAAAGCAGATGTGTCTCATTTAACCAGCGATGCCATATCGTATAGACTGCACCATTCCAAATCTTAATGGAGGATGTTTATAATGGCTCATTTGGACAATTATTTCAAAAATTACAAACCAATGAAAAACAAACTGGAATTTAGCTAGATTAAACTTCAGATATACTGTTTTACTGTTAATGGCATTTTGAAAGTTAAACGTCCATGTTTAAATAACATCTGATTATCTCTCTGGCATTTTTTCGGGTTGTGAGACGAACTTAAGAATAATGCCGGCCTGTCATTTGAACCCGTGAATCTGAATAGCGGTGCAGTCCATTTTACCATTAAGGGGCCGAGGATATGTAAAGCGATAAACTGCTGTGAAGCGTGTCAGTCTACTCTCGCTCTTCTGGAACGGGTTCTATTGCTATTTTGCGGTTGACGATTTCCATACACAACCCAATACAACACTCGATATTTTATTGTGTTTAACGATAAAAAAAATACCAAAAGGTTAATTTCTGTCCTAGCCTAGGTTCTGTGTGTGTGAATATTTTATGGATAATACGTTTACCCAATTTAGAGTGCGACATGATAAGTTTCAAATACCTGCAGAGTTTAATACTCTTTTAACAGTCCACTTTACAAGATACTAGTATACAAATGCTCGAGCAGAAACACGACGCTTCCGAATCATTGCGTAGAAAGTGATTACTGCAAGGATTTCAAAAATCATGTGCGCAAAGTTTTCACACCTGTTCCCCCTTCGAGTAGGTAGTGGATCAGTTCACGGCACGCTCCCCACTCTCCTTTAAAAGACACGTCTTTCACGCACCTCATTCTAATGTTTGTTGGACAGTAAAGACATCACGCTAGCATCAACAAACTTGTGATTCAGGGCTACAGATAAGGGGCGTACAGGCGTAATGTACGCCTCAAAATCAATTAAGTCTGACATAATATAAGATTTCAAGCGTATCGTGTACGCACATAAATACCTTTGTACATCTAACATTTAATTTCCGTGCGTATCGTGCAAATGGAAATCTATTTCGGATAAATACTTGTCAAGTTTCTTTTGCGAAACACGATTTGACACATGAGGAAACCCCGACAATAGGAATCACTTGCGTTGCCATGCAACGATATGCGTCATTATTTTTCGATTGGCTAAAAACTACACTGTTCCTATTTATATCCAGTCGGACCTGACATTTCGCGCATCACACGGTCACTCAGTTATTTCTCACGCGTCTTCAAATACAAATACATGGTTGGAAATAGTGATGGATGAATCGTCCAGACAAACCACATCACCAACTCGCTCACACAAAAACATGTCAGTACTCCTTCAAAATTCTCAGTACACCTACACTTGCAATATGATGTGTAAGTACACTCGCACCCCCAAAAGTTATCTGGAGCCCTGTGATTGACATCATGAAAAACATTTGAGAGCTGGAAGTTTGTTGACTGTGTCTTTTGAACCCATTAGAGTGTATCCGCACTCACAATGTCAATAACTGGATTATCTGGTCAAGACTCGATTATTTACAGACAGCTGTCATATATCTGGTATAGGCAATGGGGACATCATCCAGAATTCTATCTCTGCACTAGACAAATTGATACTTACACACAAAAGATGACGAGGCCCATGAAGACGAAGAGATAGTTGCCTTGGTAGCTCTCGATGTTCTTCATGACTCTCTTGGGAACTGGTGCAACTGTTTTTGGCAGCCGGAACTTTGAGGTGTTGAGGAACTCCCCCCATGGTTTGACACCCTCCCTTGTCTTGGAGAACCATTCCCGGACTGTGGCGTTGGACAGAGACATAGACATCATGCTGGAAGATGAAGAAAACTATACATAGACCAATAGCTTTTTGGTATTTGCACATGTGAATTTTTGTAACAACACATCAAACATTGATATATAATATACATTTCACATACTGAAAATCCTTAAAATAATTTGAGAGGGAAATTTAACACTTGATTGGATGCTGTCTTTTCTCATGATAATAGTGCACATTCGCATCACAAAACTGACAGTGCACAAGGGCCTCTCTGCACATAAAAGACATTATATTATGCACTTTACTGGACGCAACCCTCTCTGCCGGGGCAATTATCGCTATAGCGCTACCACACTGTCTCCAGCACTGTCTTGCTATATCGCGGTAATTGCTCCGTCTCCCTTCACTTGCATCTTAAGAGTCAAACAACCCTTTACGATCCTTAGGGTTAGGGAATGGCACCCTTTACGATCCTTACGGTTAGGGTGTAGGGTATGGCACCCTTTCCGATCCTTAGGGTTAGGGTTGGGAGAGGGGTAGGGTTAGGCACCCTTTCCGATTCTTATTTAGGGTTTGACTTTACCTTAGGGCAGTATAATCCTATTATATCCAATTGAAACACATTTCGATCCATCCAGTACTGTCAGTACAGTCCAAGAAATAATGGCGCAAAAAAAAAATGAATGGGAAGGGCGTAGCACAGTGGGACGGAAGCGCAAGAAATGTAAACAAACCAGTGCGCAGTGGTTTGTTTTCATTTCTCGTGCTTCCGCCTCACTTCTGTGCAAATGACCCGTTAAACGAGCACTCATTAACTGTGATGGTACTTGTGGTCCCGAGGTAGAGCGTCCGCCAATTACGTCACTAATTAACGAAGTCAGTAAACCGGCAAAGCGCGTTCGAGCCCCAGCAGCGCTAATTAATCTGCAAAAAAGTGCACCCGGTAAAGTGCAGTACTCCCGCAGCTTCAGTCATCAGTGATTGTTTGGCCCATCACTGGGAAATGATATGAAAGATGAGTCAGCCACTGACATAATTTCATGGATTGCTGTAGACTGTCACTGTCCGTGTCAAGTTACAGACTTTGAGAAGTTGAGTGTCCTTTTCTTCTTGTTGTTTTATCAGCATTATAAGCATTATTATGTTTGATCACACCAACAATTTTAATATTTGTGCATTGGAATGCATACTAACACCCCGCCTTTTCCAAAAATTAGAAACCTGAGCAGATCTAAGTGTTTGAATCGAATGATCTAACACAATACTTCTGTATTTGGGGAAGTAGTCCATTATCGATTATTTCATTTCAAGAAAGCTGTATAAAAATAAAAATCTGTCCTTCACACACTTACAGTAAATCTGTTCCCTTCTGTTCAAGGTGAATACCTTCATATGTGTTTCAAGTCTTGCAGAGAAATATGGCTACTGCATCTGAAGTTTAACTATTGGATGCCAATCACTAGGGAAACAAGCACTAAGTACCTATTACAACCTGACTGGTCAATGTGGTCTAATTAGAAAAAGCCATGTCAATCCTAGATTAGCTTCAAACTGGCAACTCGAGTTTGGTCGTTTGGGAAAAGCTGAGCAGTAGACTCCTTACATTTATCAATCAAACTTTAGGCAAATATGTTTCACTAAAATGTGAATGAAAATAATGAATAATCGTCTGTTTCTTCTGAAATTACAAGATTCATGATTCTCAAACACAAATTAGGCCAAAGCGAATAATTTACACAAGCTGCTAATTTTGGTAATATTGGAAATATTTTCTGTTCCATCCTTATGGTGAGTTAATGAGATTTAATGAAACTAAGGTGCAAACTTGTCAAAAACTAATTGTTGAGAGGGTGTTGGGGTGGTCACCGTGGTCAGTAGTGACTGTTTAAGTTGACGACTTCCGAGTTCGAGCGATATGCAAGTTGCAACTGCCATAAACTTAGGTACACTCGAAAGACTAGTCATACAAGTCAAGTAACTTCTGGGCACATTAACTAGTTGTATTCTCACCGTTGCTTTAAACTCTGTGATGTTGGTTCAATGAGTGGAATTTCGATGTTCCCTTCAAGTCCAGATTTATCCGCCATGTCAACAAATCAACTCCATCAGTGTGAAGTGACAACGTGGAAGTGACATCAGTAAACACACAAATGTATTACGTAGGTCACATATTTCGTGATCCGGATAAACCGCTCGGGGTAAAGTATGGATTATCGAGACAGCGTATAAATTAACACTCGGGAGCACTGAAATCCTTATACCATATTATTCTAAATATTGCAGTTAAATGAAAAATATGACCCAGAGGTGTCAACTTGTAATGATAAGTACCATATCCCAAGCATATAGTTGCAGGGGACCAGTCTAGTTTTAACGCAGAAACTTATGACGTATTTCACACTTCCGCCTAAAATGTTTCAACAATAAATAGCAGCTGATTCATCTTGATTCAATGTCACAAGTTTAAATAAAGTTATCTCTTTGCATGACACAAGGCAGCAGTAGGTAAGAGCCACGTGTCCATTATGTTTTCAGTTTTTGCTCACTTGAAACAAACTTGTTTCTTGTTTATAAGTTTGCATTTGCATTTTGTTTGGTACGAATAGCTAAAGTTTGAAATGTTTTTTGTTTTTGTGTGTGTAAACTTTGCACTGTACAGTGGCAGTAGACACAAGGTCAGCAGGCCTGTTCTTCACATAGTTTACCTGGCATAATTAGTTTCCGGTTCCTAGGTCCCACTACTTGTTATAGTAGATGTTTCAAATCTATAAATCGGGGTTCGGGCCGCTCCAAGCTATAAATAGCAATGACTTTGATTGATTGATGATATATTCCTATTTTTTGCAAGTAAGTGACAAAGTTCATATCTACATGTTTGGCACAGCTTTCCTACTTGTTTGTTTTTGCCAAATATGTTGTATCCTATTTATCCTATCCCAGTAATATATTCTATTGATCTTTAACTAGAAGATCGTGATACTGTATAATATTTTAGAATTCAATTGCTATTGGGGATGATCTTGGTCTTCGATGTCACATTATGTCCTAAATATGACAAATGAATTAAGTATTGTTCTTTATCTAATATGAATTTGGTAAAACAAACCAATAATTAGGCTACACATTTTAAAAGTTTTCTTTGGTATGTTATGAATCACAAGGATATTTATTGACAAATATGTCAGCCGAAATGTATGAGCATTTAAAGATATAATAGTTGTCAAAAGTGGAAATGTACCAATCAGTTTAATATGTTAAAAGCTTATTATCCATTTTTATGCAGTTACAAAAGTAAGTGGACCCTGAGATCATATCTTAACCTGTGATACTGGAAGCTGATGTGGTGGTCTTAGATATTGTTTTGCTAGTTATTCTGGATTAGGAAGAAGTATATTGCTTGCTTGGTTGACAGATCTATGTAAAAAAAACCCTGGTCATTCAGTGTTAAAGAATTAAAAAAAAACAGTTTTGTTAGTGCCAAGTTAGTTCATGTAACCTTTTTGCAAACAACATAAAACGTGTGGCATTAAACAAAGAAATATGAAACACTGCTGCTTTGCAGGGTTATTGGAAACATATTAGTTTGTCTGTTTTGAGTACTGAAATATTGATTATGACATTGTTTTCACTCAACATTTTAAAGGATCTGCAACCAGTTTTGTAAAATCAGTCTCCTCTGATTGAAAACATGATAAAACAAAGGTTTGCGTGGCCTAAATACGGTTACATGTAAAAGTTGCTGTGATATTTATTAATGCTGTTTCTAGTCTTGCAGAATGGCAGCTTGTGACAAGCAGGATGCAGGTGAGCAGCCAGTGAAGACACTGGTTGAAGCGATATGCCACAAGTATATTGATGACATGGAGGTTGAGGTTGATGTCCATGTATTTGTGCCCAAAAGAGGCCCTGCAAAAATATCAGGTAAAGTTAAAAGAAAAGACTAGTCTTACATATTGATGAATATGCATGTCTTTGTGTGTGACACTCTCACTCTCACTCTCTCTCTGGAGCAGTGGGGTAGCCGAGTAGTTAAGGTGTTGGCTCGTCACGCTGAAGGCCCGGGTTTGATTCCCCACATGGGTACAATAAAGTGAACCTCATTTCTGGTGTACCCCCAGAGGCCCAGATAAGCTGCGTATCCGGGTAAAATACGCATAGAAAATTTCCAACTACGCATTGAAAAATAATTGTTGCGTACCAATTACGCATTTAAAATGTTAGATACACAAAAAATTTAAAACAAATGATGTACGGAATATATTTATAAAAATCGCTTGCATAATGAAAAAGACATAGATTGCTATCAAGTTGTACTGTTAGTATAGGACTAGTGTTATGCTGTCGGTATAGGATGAGTGATTTTTTATGAAATGATTTCCATTATATTTAAGTTGGTTTTGATTCGGTATGATATGAGGCAGGACATACCTGCTTAGTAAACTTACTCAATGACATAATACTTAGGTGAGTAATATGATTGAAATATGCACATATTTGAAAGCAGTGGGTAACGGAAAATGAAATACCCACTCAACATTCATAATACCCACTCCAAAAAATTACAGTGGGTACAGTACCCACATGAGCTAAATCTTATCTGGAGGTCTGACCCCGCCGTGATGCTGGCATATTGCTAAAAGCGGCATAAAACCCAACTCTCTCTCTCTCTCTGGTTTCATTCATATAATGTTATATTTCATTTCATGACCTTCTAATGTACCTCTCATGCTTTTGAAATCTTTAGAATGGCTTTGTGTAATGAACATTGCCGGTGCATGCAAGGTTTGAAGGTCACTCACTTTGTTGTGCAATTTAGAATCAGGAGACCTCATCCTTCCTCGGAACCTTCACCTGACGGACTGTGATGTGGGCTTGGCCGGAGACTGTGATGAGCTAAGCAGGATGTGTCAGGGTGTGTGTGAACTGGACCTGATGCAGAACAAGATCACACAGTGGACAGAGGTACATGGTGGTCAGGAGTAACCATTGAAGGGGAAACAACTATTGCGCTAGCAACAGTTTATTGCAACAAACTACTGTGATAGTCTATTTCGACCAACTATTGCAATACTATTGCAATGGTATTTTTCTCCTTGAATTGTCTCATTTGAAGTCATTTCCCCAATGAATGTATAGTTTATACTGATATAAAAACAAGTTGAACTAGTTTCAGTCTCTTTTAATAACTGACAAGAAACTTGAAATCCAGATCAAGTAAACAGTTTGTTTAGTGGTAACAGGGGTGGATAGTTCTAAATCAAGGTGAATGAATCTGGTATTTCCTGTATTTTGCGCTGCACATTTATCAACGGAAGTCAATTACTAAACTATCGATAGTCACACATACTATTGATGCATCGATAGTTTTTCATTTCTACCATCGATTAATTGCTGTTGGAGACTCAACAATTTTGATGCATCGTTACAGCCCTAATGGTTGTGTTATATGTATCAGAGCTGCTGCAGCTTCAACTTCAAGTGGGTACTTTAAAAGTGAAGTGCTTTTCATAATGTTTATGATGCTTTGTGCATGTTCTAGTCAGTTTTGGCTCTGTGCCACTATTCAGACTACTGAAAACACAAACAGGATTTTTAAGAAATAATGAAAAGTCAGTGGCCTGAAACCAGGTAACAAAAACTAAAGATTTAAAGGTTATTGAGACAAGAAAATAAAATAATCCACAAACAAAGGAATATTAAGGACACAATTCTGGCAACTCAACAACAAAGGATTTTTAAAAGTCTGTTCTGTTCCACATTGAAACAAGAAACAGACAAGGATTTTTATGAAATGTATCTTATTTTGTGATATCATAAGTGGTGTGGGGTAGCCTAGTGGTTAAAGTGTTGGCTCGTCACGCCGAAGACCCGGGTTCGAATCCCAACATGGGTACAATGTGTGAAGCCCATTTCTGGTGTCCCCCGCCGTGATATTGCTGGAATATTGCTAAAAGCGGCGTAAAACCAAACTCAGTCAGTCAGTCATAAGTGGTGTTATGATTTGTTTGGGTGAATGTCATTCTTATGTGACCGGTAATGGAATATCCTCACAACTTTGTGTAACGATAATGGTACACTGTCTGATTGTAATGAAATTGCCTTTGCGACATTGTGACGAACATATGTTACATGTCATTTTGCGGCGTTACATGTGCGGTGGGGTAGCCTAGTGGTTAAAGCGTTGGCTCGTCATGCCGAAGACCCGGGTTCGAATCCCCACATGGGTACAATGTGTGAAGCCCATTTCTGGTGTCCCCCGCCATGATGTTGCTGGAATATTGCTAAAAGCAGCGTAAAACCAAACTCAGTCAGTCATTTTAGTTATTTTTGAAAGTATTCTCCGAATGATATGCATGGTAAGTTATCTTACTTGCTCGTTGATTCAGACCACATCTCTCAAGGTCACCAAGACAGACAGTGATTTATTTCTGCTTACAGGTCTTTAAAGTTATCAAGGAAATACCCAACTTGACATTTCTGAACTTGACCTCTAACCCCCTGTCCTTTTGTGAGGAGCTGGTTGACCCTGACCTTGTGTTCCCGGGGGTGAAACAGCTGGTTCTGAACCACACCCACATCGACTGGGGCAGCCTTGTTCACATCCTCCAAGTTTTCCCTGGGTAGGTCTTGTGATAAACATTTCTATAACAAGACATCTGACATCAGTAGAGACAACAGGCACCCAAGGTCTCAGACATCTGGAGAGGTAACTGGTATATGCTGGCAGTTCAACTGAATGGAGCGGGCATAGGTCTCAACCATATCGAATTAAGCGAATTAAATTAGTATATAGTGGGAAAAAAATCAATACTGAATATGTGTCATAATTATTATTCAAAGCCAAAGCCAAAGCCATCACAATTCAACCAACCCCCTCCCAATCAACCACAATTCAAGCCTTCACCCCCTGCTCCTACACCCACACTACACCCAACACCGCCCACCCACACTACACCCAACACTGCCCACCCACACTACACCCAACACTGCCCACCCACACTACACCCAACACTGCCAACCCACACTACACCCAACTCCAGCCCCACCCACTACACCCAACACTGCCCACCCACACTACACCCAACACTGCCCACCCACCATATACTGCCACACCACACACTACCACACTTTAACACCGCCACCCACACTACACCCTACACTACACTCTACACTCCAGCCACCCACACTACACCCAACCAACACTGCACCCAGCTACACCTACATACACCCAACACTGCCTACCCACACTACACCCCTACCACACCACCCACCCACACTACACCCAACACTGCCCACCCACACTACACTACACCCAACACTGCCACCCACACTACACCACTACACCCACACCATACACACCCAACACTGCCCACCCACACTACACCCAACACCGCACCCACACTACACACTGCTTCACCCACACTACACCCAACACTACACCCAACACCACCCACACTACACCCAACACTGCCCACCCACACTACACCCAACACTGCCCACCCACACTACACTACTCACACCTTAACACACTCTCACACCCACACTACACCCAACACCGCCACCCACACTACACCCAACACTGCCTACACCCACACTACACCTAACACTGCCTACCCACACTACACCTAACACCCCACCCACACTACACCCAACACCACCCACACTACACTCCAACACTCCACCCACACTACACCAAACCCACCACCACACTCCACACTACACTACAACACCCAACACTGCCCACCCACACTACACCCAACACTGCACAATGCCACCCACACTACACCTTAAAACACTGCCCACCCACACTACACCCAACACTGCCCACCCACACTACACCCAACACCACCCACCCACACTACACCCAACACTGCCCACCCACACTACACCCAACACCGCCCACCCACACTACACCCAACACCGCCCACCCACACTACACCCAACACTTCCAACCCACACACCACCCTAACTTCTGCCCACCCATACTACACCCAACTCCGCTTCACCCACACTACACCCAACACCACCCACACTACACCCAACACCACCACACACACACACTACACCCAACACCCCACCACACTACACCCAACACTGCCAGCCCACACTACACCCAACACCACCCACCCACACTACACCCAACACCACTGACACTACACCTAACACCGCACCACCCACACTACACCCAACTCTGCCCACCCACACTACACCCAACACCGCCAACCCACACTACACCCAACACTGCCCACCCACACTACACCCAACACCGCCTTCCACCCACACTACACCCAAACACTGCCCACCCACACTACACCCAACACTCCGGGCCACCCACACTACACCCAACACCGCCCCCACCCACACTACACACCCACTCATTCCTCCACCCACACTACACCAAACACCGCCCCACCCACACTACACCCAACACTGCCCACCCACACTACACCCAACACCGCACACACTACACCAAACACCACCCACCACACTACACCCAACACTGCCTACCCACACTACACCCAACACCGCCACCTACCCACACTACACCCAACTCCCAAACACCCACACTACACCCAACTCACCACCCACACTACACCTTCCAACACACCCACAACACCCCACACCACCACCCACACTACACACAACTCCCCACCCACACTACACCCAACACCGCCCACACCACACTACACCCCAACCCACACCCACACACTACACCCAACTCCGCCCCACCCACACTACACCCAACACCGCCCACCCACACTACACCCAACACCGCCCCACCCACACCCAATACTACACCCAACACTGCCCACCCAAACCACCAAACCAACCCTACACTACCCAACCACCAAACCTACCTCCCCTGTACCCCCCCACCCATCCTCACTCAAACCTACACCCCCCTGTGGTGTAGTGGTTAGAGCTGTCCCAGCCTCGAGAGCTGGAAGGTCGGTTCGATCCCGACCGCCATACCAAAAGACGTTAAAATATGGTACTTGTTGGTCCTTGCCTGGCGCTCGGCATAAATGGGTACACGGACTGGTCGGCTTGAAGTCAGTATAATGTGTCTGAGTGGGGTATTCATGCTTCACTACGGCATGGTATCTCAGTGGGCTATTCTCAAGCACGACGTTAAACACCAATTCCACCACCACCACCACACCTAACCCCACTTATCTACCCTCCACTCTACTCCCTGACAAATACGTTTATTGAGATTATTAACTAGACAGGAGCCAGCTACAGCATTAAGATTTGTGATGATAGCCTCAGACTACTTACATTCCTCACAGCCTGACGGAGCTGCACCTGAGCCTGAATGACTACACCGTCCTCATCAACATCCCCGACGACTTCTCCTACCCTTCTCTACACAAGCTCCACTTCAACGGCAACAACGTCACAGACTGGTCCCAGATAAAACAACTGGGCCACACTTTTACCCAGCTGAAGAACCTGGTCTTGACGACCTGTGAGCTGACATCACTGGGAGACAAGGAGGAAATCGCTGCAGCCTTCCCCCACCTGTGTGTGTTGAACATCAACAAGACATGCATCAGCAAGTGGGAGGAGATTGACAAACTAAGACTGTTCCCAGCTCTGACCGATGTCCGAGTGGTCGGCATCCCACTGTTTGAGGTGAGAAAGTCACAACTGGTCAAAGGTGAAGAATAATGACAATTATTATGGATATACAACTTCTTTAATTCTGTGGAGGCGACGTTGCGACATAGGTTCTAATGTCGTTGTCAAGCAAGTGATGACGACAACGATATTAGAACCTATGTCGAAACGTCGCCTCCACAGAATAAAAGAAGTTGTATGTCCATAATAATTGTCATTATTCTTCATCAACTCAACTTCTAAAATGCCCATCAAACTGGTCAAAGGTGGTAGATCTTCTTAAGTCAACAAGTTTGTCTGTACTGTCCTGCCTGTGTAGGTTTGTTTGATCGTGTGGGGCGGTAGGTGAGGTAGCCTTGGGCTACAGCATTCGCACATCACGCCCATTCCTCACATGGGTACAATCCCTAAAGCCCATTTCTGGTCCCCCACCGTGATATTGATAGAATATTGCTAAAAGCGGTGTAAAACCACACTCACCCACTCACTTATTTGATTGTGTGTCCATTCATCAACTATGTTTGTCTGTTTAACTGTCTGTAAGCCAATCTGCCTGTCTGTGTTTGTGTCTACATGTTTGGCCTTTCATGTGCAGGGTTTTTTGTGAAGCATAAATGTCAGTCTAGTACTCACTGGTGGTGTTCCGATTAATTGAAATAATCGAAGATTGGTCGCAGTGACCAAACGACCAATCAATCGATCACATTTTCTCATAATCGAACATAAACGATTTTGGAACTACTGTCTTTGAAATACTTGACAATGGAACATATCTTAGAAGTTGTCAGGGCCTGAAAACATGTTTATTTCTTAGAAAACTCACTTCACTAACTGAAAAGTCATGACTGAATGTTTCTCTAAGACTCCAGGAAGTTTATGTTCATGATATATTAGTCATCACTTTAATGTAGCACGTTGCAAGATGTTATACTTTTCTGCAGTAACAACCTGGATAGGAAAATCTGAAAAATGACGCTAACCAATATTTCTTCGATGATTGTTCATTGGTAATGAAGCAATCATCAATTGTGGGATTTCAACCAATTCCAAACACTAGTACTCACAAATGTTTAAAATTCACTGTACCACCATACCACACCACACCACACCACACCACACCATGCTACACCACACCACACCACACCACACCACACCACACCACACCACACACCACACCACACCACACCACACCACACCACACCACACCACACCACACCATGCTACACCACACCACACCACACCATGCTACACCACACCACACCACACCACACCATGCTACACCACACCACACCACACCATGCTACACCACACCACACCACACCACACCATGCTACACCACACCACACCACACCATGCTACACCACACCACACCATGCTACACCACACCACACCACACCATGCTACACCACGCCACACCACACCATGCTACACCACACCACACCACACCATGCTACACCACACCACACCACACCATGCTACACCACGCCACTACACTTTGCCACGCCACACCACACCACACCACGCCACACTACAGTACCCTCATATTTCTGGTCGATCCTACTTTTGAAGGGAAAGATAAACCCCTGATTTGTTTGTCTGACTATCTGTCCTTGTGTCTATTCATCTCTGTAGCTCTCTGCATCACATTGCCTGCTGTGTTTTCCAGGGTATTCCCGACAAGAAGCGGCGTCAGCTAATGATAGCACGGACCCCCAACGTTGTGTATCTGAATGGAAGCATTGTGCCTGCCCAGGAGAGGGAGGATGCAGAGAGAGCCTTTGTGAGACACTACATGGATGGCGATAACAAGCCAACACGGTACGTCTCATTCATGTGTCACCTCATCCTCGATAATCTCCAGGGTATACGTTACGATCACTCTCCACTATACCCTGGATGCATCTACAGTTCCGCCGGATAATTTTATTACGTCCCTTGGCTGGCTTCTTATCCAATCAGGTGTCTACGCTGGGAAGTTGAGCGGACTAATCAAAACTCACTTTCGCTTCTTAAATTATCTAACCGATTAAACTTGGCAACACAGATGCTGAAAGAGGTGGAAAGTTCTTGCATATATTTTTTTAAAGTTTCAGACCTGTAAAATTGTCTGTATGATTTCCCCAAAAATCTGAGTCGCACTGCGAACAAACCTTTGCGGCTGCGACCTCTATCTTTGTTGACACTGACAAGTTCGGTTGTAACGGCGGCTTAGCTGATTGGCTACTGTGAGAATGCGGAGCCAGCCAAGAGAGGTAATAAAATCATCGGGCCAAGCCGTAGATGGGTATAGTGGAGAGTTATCGTAACGTATACCCTGGACATCATCGAGGATGTGTGTCACCTTGCTTTTCCAGAATTGCTGATACGAAAAAGCAATATTCGATCGATTGATCGTTCGTTCGTTCGCTCGCCTGCCTTTCCAGCTTTGAATAGTTAGACCACTTGTAGAAGTGCTCTTTCTGTGATGTCACGGAAGATGTGATTTGATTCCCAACTTGGGTACAATGTGTGAGCCATGTTTTGGTTATTTGTTACTTCTGTTCATAAAGACTGAATTCTGTTACATGTGTTGTTGGAAGGTCTTGAATTACAGGTTCCATTTTTGCGGTGTGAAACAGTTGGACCTTGATTTGTCCAGTGTACCTCACTCATACTTTTAGCTGAAACTAACCACCACTCTACAAATCCCTTCAGCTTCTGTTTGGAAATCAAGTTGCTTTTATTATAAAACTGATGATCTTGTCATTTGGACTAGTTCATGGCTGTATTTGCTGTGAGGCACTTATCGATGTGAGTGAGTGAATTGGGTTTTATGCTGCTTTAGCAATATTCCAGAAACATCACGGTGGGGGACACCAGGAATGGGCTTCACACATTGTACCCATGTGGCTGGGATGAGAATATTCCGCGGATTTCATAAGGCCAAGGATAATTTTTGTGACTCGTCTAAATCCCTTGACAATTGTATGAATGTGTTTCAGCAGATTTAAAGTTTTTTAATGGTTGCTGTGTTCATGATATTGTCATTTCTGAGCCAGTTTTAAAGGTCTAAACTGCCTAAATATCAGGAGCTTCGGCTAGTTTTCAGAGTTTTTCTTAAAACTTCATTCTCATCCCTGCATGTGGGGAATCGAACCCGGGTCTTCGGCATGACGAGCGAACGCTACTTTGCAATGTAATTGTCTGTTTCAGATATGATGAACTTGAAGCTCGCTACGGCAAACTCGACGCTCTAGTAAACATAGACATGAAACCTCCAAGTTCCTGTAAAGTGACTGTGATCTTAGATGACAGGCAAGAAGAAATGGACGTCTGTGTCAATCAAACTGTAAAACAGTTCAAAAAGTTCCTGACAAACTTTGTAGGCCAACCTCCGGCCAAATGGGTTCTTTTCTACCACGAAACAGAGCTCAATTTTGGGCCAAGACGCATGGTGTACCCTAATCGAAAACTGTATGCATATAATGTTAGTGATGGAGATGAATTTATCATTATGATGAAATCATAATATTGGTGATAATATACACCCCAAAATTGTAACCCATGTATGGAGTATAACTTCACTACCCAACAACGCGACATCCTATTGTTGAAATATTTCCCTACCCAGGTGTACGTTACGTAAACCTTACAGGGCTATTTAAATTTTGCTTTGAAGTTTCAAGATACTAATTGGAAATTTCAACTTATTTTCTTGAAATTTCAACTTAGTAATTTCAAGATAATTACCGTCCTCGGTATATTTTTAAATAGTTTACATTTTCCATTAGTTCATAATATTAACTTATTTTTTTGGGGTAACATTCACAGTTTTTGAAAAATCACAGCTGGGAAAAGAGGGGGTTATCTGCCCATTAAAATAGCATCTAAAAACATTTTCCCAGATGTAGACCTGTATTAAGTTCGTCCAGTTGATAACTTTATATATCATATACCTTTTTAAGATTCGGTTCTAGTCTTTATTACCCACGTGGGTCAACGTATAATACGCTTTATAGTATCATATAAGGTTCTAGTCTTTATTACCCACGTATGGGTAGTTGCATATTAATCTCAGACGCCACACGAAAGTGTCGTGATCGCTGTTGACCTGTGTCAGAAACGACTTTGACCTGAAATTTAACGATTTGATTGATAACCGATGACCTCTCAATTAGGTCACATTCTGACGTAACTATTTTTTCATTCATAACAAACACGTGAATTCATTCATTTTACAACTTAAATGCATTGTGGGAATGTAAACATTGCTAACGCTGCCGCGGTCGCTGTTTAACTGTGAGTCGAACTGAGACATTACATCTGTCGAAAAACATAAACGCAATGTTTCCATCAGTGATGTTAGCCTAATGAAGCAACTGGAAACCAAGAAACGGGTGCTACGGAGTAGTTTACTGTAGGAGGCTGTAATGAGGCGATGACAACTGACATGCATCGCGATCGCCGGTTACCATGGCAGTGACGCCATTAGTGTGACGCCATGCAAATATTGTACTACAGTACAAAACTCTTCCGCGAACCTCTTTATGAAACCGTTTCGGTTTGAAACCAAAACATAACAAAAATATGCTATTTTGTCAATTTAAATGCATGTAAGACGGGTAATAAATAAAATACCACACTCGGTCTCATATATATACGAATTATAATGAATTCGTGATCTTTCCTATATATCTGACCGAGCCACTCGGTCAGATACCATAGGAAGGACACTCTTTTCGTATAATTCGTATGTAATGAGACCTCATGTAGTATTCTCTATTTATTCACTGAACGAAAGCTTGATTAGGGAATGGGGAGACATCAATGTGTACCACGGCTATATGTGTCAGAGATGTAGCGGATGAATGATAATAATTATAATATTAATAAACAATATTCAGGGAGTACTCGTATATAAGACTGTTACATCTAGGCTCTTAGGACTTACCATTACATAAAATTCAGGAAAGGTTATATAAACAAAACAACCATTCCCAAACCTTTTATTGTGGCCATGGATAATTATTATTATTGTTACAACTAATATTCATCACATTACATGATTCACTATAGGTCTGGGTAGTCCTGGGTATATCAGAGTTTGAGTACCTGACCGTCCCATCCCAAGGTGCACCACGCCTTCTCCATTTTCAAATATATCTTTTGTAAATATGTACATGACGTTGATCTCATTTACTGAACATGTAAGATAACAGTAATACCTGCTTGGTTGTTGATGAAAGAGTCTTGTGTTTTGCTTCATCTGCTGATCAGTTCACCAAAACAAGACCTGCAATACATCTAGTGGACATGTCATGATATACCTGGAATACTGGTTTAACAATCTTCGAAACTTGCTCACTGCAAATAATTGTTTTTTTTAATAATTCCACCGTTTGTTTACATTTCCATCCATTTCAAAACAACAATACATACATGTACATATATACAGTCAGCTCTCGTTAATCCGACACTCATTAATCCGACAATCACGTTAATCCGACAAAAATTAGGGAACCATTTAAAACAGTGATAATTACTCTCGTTAATCAGACATTCTCGCATTCTGACTCCGACACAGCAATCTAGCAACTGATTATTGTAAATACATTGTAAAAACATTCATTAATCCGACAATCAACACAGCCGGTCAGATAATCCGACCGTATACAAACAATCACACGTGAGTGGTAATTAGCGTGTGCCTTACTGGCTGCTTTAACATATTCAACATCCGGGTCATAATGGCAGCTGATATGTGGTAAAAACAAGTTTTGTGCCAATGTGGTCATGAAATAGATATGAAACTGTTCGCTGATGTGATTATATATGTATGTTATGCCATCTATGAATGATAACAAGAATGTATTGTTAGTATTTTTTATTTCTGTGAATATTTTTGCATACGATGAAGATAACTAGATCTACCATTTCTGATATGCATGCAACAGTATGACGATCATGACATTTAGTAAACATTGATATTTTCACACAAATACATTAATCCGACATTTTCATTAATCCGACATTTTCGTTAATCCGACATATTTCTCTGCAACCACAAGTGTCGGATTAACGAGAGTTGACTGTGTGTGCATATAGATGTGCACAAGATTATGTTTTCATTTAGATGCAATATCTAAAGCATAACACGGGGTTGCTGAAAAGCATATGTAGAGATGACCAAAAGGCATGGAAGCTTGCTTGTTTACAGTTTGAAATTGCTGTGAATTTTGTTGTTTGATAATATAGATATTTCTTGATGTAAAGGTTTGAAATTTGGTTTAATGTTCTTAATAGTACATCTGTAAAGCATAGATTTTGTTATAAGAATAATTGCATTTAAAGGGTTATTATTCATACCCTTAAATCAAAATAATATATTCTCTTCGTTGAATTCCATGTTTCCTTCAGTGTCCTTTGCATGCCATTCTGAAAGTTGTCTCCATATGATTTTAGCATATTGACAGGTATATAGAACATGTACAATGGTTTCAAGTGAGTCATTACATAGAGAACATGCTGGGGATTCAACGTATCCCATCTTAAATAACAAGTTATAGGTACTCAGTATATTACTCACTGCAAATAATCACTTTCTCTGAACTAATGTACAAGAAAATAGTCTCTAAACAGGGCGGATCCAGAGGAGTGGTGCGCAACCCCCTCTCCCCTGAAAAAGTTTCCCTGAGGATCATTTCCCCCTAATCATCATCATCATCATCATCATCACCATCATCATCATCATCATCATTTTATTCTGTATAAATGAGTGAACATACCTACTGCGCCACTAGCAAAAGTCATTTGAATTTAACACAATGGAGTTACATTATTTCTTAGTTTAAACACCTTATCAATTACAATACAAAGGTTAAATAGCTTATCATTATCAACATTGGTGAACAAGTAGATCATTTTATACATACACTACTCACACTTTGCTAAGGATCACAAAAAATTGCAACATAACTTAAATGTAGATTTATATTTTGATATTGTATCCATTTAGAACTGGATAAAGAATGATATGGTAACACATCTTCAGGAAAACAGCCACTTTAAGCTAACAGTATGCACTTGATACAAGAGTAACCATAAAAATGGTTATCATGGCACCAATCAACCATTTTGAAAATAATGGCATGGGTCATTGATAAGTACACAAACCTGTCAATAGCAGATATGGGATCCACAGATGAAACGACATACTGAAAACTTGGATCCATGCTTACAATAGGCTTAGATATTTAAACCAAATTTGACCCTACATCATAGTTTTTTTGCTGTTGACTCAATGATTTGATCCTCAGGAAAGTGTGAATAGTATATTTGGGTTGTAATAGTAATAGGTTGTGATGTATTTCCCCCTAACCTTTGGACTTCATGATTTAAAATCCTGGGCCTAGATTTTCAATGCTCTCTTAGTGCTAGGATAGTCGTAAGTTAATGTTAATGCATGGTACTTATGACTGTCGTAACGCTAAGAGAGCTTCGAAAATCTAGGCCCTGGATCTGGCCATGCTAAACATGGGGCAATAATGATAATAATAATTGCTAGCTAACAGTTATGGTAGGTAATCTATATCAGTTTCTGTGTTTCAATGTAACCATGTCACGTTATGAATTTTTTGTTTTTGTTTGTGTTGTTATTCATGAATATTACAGTTATATGGTGATGGTCTGTAAATAATCGAGTCTGGGCCAATATAATCCAGTGATCAACATCACGAGCATCAATCTACGCAATCGTGTGTACCAAGTCCCGTTAGTCGCCTCTTACGACAAGCATGGGTTTGCTGAAGACCAGTTGCAACCCAGATCTTCCATGAATGGCTATGTTTTGTCAAAAGAAAGCATACATTTTTTTAATGTAACTATTTTATGTTGACATATGAAGTTACTGGTGCTGAGTGCTCTTTTTTATGTATATTTTCCTAGTCTGAATGTTGCTAACAAATAAAACAGCCCCCAGTGATACCTCATCGCTAAGCTGTGATGTAATGGGGGTCTCGTAATTGTTTCCTGACAATCTGCTTGCATGTGTGTTGGGCTACTTTGAAATGATAGACTAATGGTTAGTCTATTAATATATAATATATATAATTTTGATAGTAACAAATAATCCCAACTGAATTGAAAAGGAGCCCCAGTGAGATGGAGGTTCAGAACCTGAGGAAATCTAGACTTGCTTCATTTAGGGCGTGCTAGGCAGTCGGGGAAAATACTGTGGTTCAGGGACTTAGGCAGACTGTTGAAATGCTAACCAACCGCAATACCAGGCGGCAGATTAACATGGATGCTTCACTCCGAGTATATCATGACAACTGGCAGTGTTTGTCTTCTGCCTTAATGCAAGCTCAAGTCAGAGTTATGCTATGGCTGAAACTCGAAGCCACCAACGCTCACTTTACAGACGCTCTGTCCACTAGAGTGAGTGAGTGAGTTTAGTTTTATGCCGCACTCAGCAATATTTCAATATATGACGGCTGTCTGTAAATAATCGAGTCTGAACCAGACAAAACAGTGATCAACAGCATGAGCATCGATCTGTGCAATTGGGATATGATCACATGTGTCAACCAAGTCCGCGGGTGTGACCACTCGATCCCGTTAGTCTCCTCTTACGACAAGCATGGATTACTGAAGATCAATTCTAACCCGGATCTTCACAGGTTCTGTCCACTAGATCACTAAGGGGTCTGAGTTTGGCTGTGTTGGGGCAGTGGGGTAGCCATATCGTGACAACAGAGTCATACATTGAGAATAAATATATATTTACTTTATGAAAGCTGTCATGGAAGGACAGTATACCATCCTACCTCTGTGTACC